TGGCATAAAAATAACATGTGTAGATGAAATTGAATAAGAACATTTGGAAACAAAGCCAGAAAAATCTCATAAAGAATGCATTGGAGAATCCACATAGTTCATAAATAATTTTTGGAAGAGAGTGTCCAGCTGAGTTTTGTTATGGTTCTCCCATACAGTGAATAATGATGCAAGCTGATTATGAAATGTAACATGTTAGTAAGTAAATCAGGTTAATGTTTCACATTTATACAACTTTGCAGCAGAGAAAGGCACTGATACTGCTGTGCATGAAATATTTAATTACTGATGTCTATTAAACTTCTTACAAGTTACACATGTGCTAATACAGACGTGTCTGACAGACTATTACAAATGTGAATTCAGCTTGTGAATGACCTCTGAATCCTTTGGAGCCTAATGTCCAGGTACACTTCTGTTAGTATGACCAAACTGTGCAGATGTCCAATCCCTGTGCCGGGGCGTGCCTGAGCACCATGGACAGAGACTGACAAAGCCAGGAAAGGTCTATTTCCTGAAGGGAAGAAAAAGAAATTACTTCACCTGTAGTCTTTCAGGTCAGAGAGAGAAGGAAAACTCTTAATGCTGAGATCCTTGGCCACCAATTTGTCAAAATGGTTGCCCTTTTCATGGATTTTAAAATTCCAGGTCATATTGAGTAAGGCCTGTCATCAGTCATGACTGGGCTTTGCTTCTCCACATTGTTGATGCTTCTCAAAAAAAAACTACCTCTTTAGTTACCTGTTTGCCAGAACCTTATGGGTTTCATTCTGTTTATTCTCACTGAGATGCAGAGGAATTTCTCAATAATCTACTCTGAAATACCTCTTTATTTTTATTTTGGAGATGACCAGATTCTTCAGGTATTATGGCTGAACAGTGTAGAATAGTTCATAAAATTATCTATATAATAGTTTATAAAATATTTGCTGTGTTCAAATATTGTGTCAAATTCATTCCAAAGAGGTGTGAACATTTAATGTTTGATTGTCTGTCAAGAATCGTAGTTTTTGCAGAAAATCCATTAAAAAAAAAATAAAATAGTAGGGTTTGTTTTTTGTTTTGTTTGTTTTTTTGTTTGTTTTATTTTTTGTGGGGGTTTTTTTGTTTGTTTGTTTTGGGTTTTTTTGCCTGTTTTTGGTTGTATCCAAGCTTTTTTATGTACCCAAGGGTCAAGCTATCTCGAACAGAGAATTCACACATGGGTCATGCACTCCACTTGTTTCTTCTATCGTAATACTTGCATATCCTTTCTTTTGAACATCCAGATGCAATGTCAGGATCTGGAGATCTGCAAAGTGGCAGAATAGAGCAGTCCTTTCTCAAACACACCTTCCGTATAATGGTCAGATGGTATACTGGGAGAGCGACATTTCAGATACTGTGAAATACCGTGAATTCAGGTATCATGACTAATCCAGATGTCAAAGAACCTTCCAGAACTGGAGGTTTTTATGGGAAAGTTGTCATGAAATTAATTTTTTTTTTTCTCTGGTGTTTTGTTTCTTCAGTAAAAGTTAGCTACCATGGACCTAGAAATTAAAGCTTGTGATATGAATCACTGGGTGTCTGATTTGTTGGTTCTCCAAGAAAGATTGATAGGAGACTCGCTAAATATGTGTTAATTCTACATTTTTAGGAACCTACAGGAAATACCTTTCTTACTACATAATTCAGCTTTGTAACTGAAGGAGAAAATTGTCTTTTTCTTAAGCACTGGAGTGGCCACAACTGCAGATAGCATTTTGAGTGGGATAAGATATACTAGTGCCACTTTGGGTTCCCTATACTTGAGGCATGACTATATTGTTATAATCACATTTAAGAATAAAAAGTTACAATAACAAAAAGTAATTTGAATATATACACTACTAGAAAAACTTTCAAATTTATATTTTTTCATAGTAAATAGTGAATGATACAAATTTTGAAATTCCTCAAATTAATTATAGACTTACCAATTTTCCTGCTTCTTCACTTGTATTTCTGGTTTGCCTGTCTTATTTCCAAAAGACATGGTATAGGTTTCCTCGGGTCATATGTATGTACCATGAGTGTTTTTCCAGATGCAGAAAGTTGTTAAGTAGTTGATCATACTCTGGTGATTCATAGATAATTCTATGGAAAATATTTTTTATTGCTATAGTTATGTTGCTAGCTTAATGAGCAGGACCTGTCAACTTAAACTGAGACCTTTCTCTTGTGGTAGGATGTGGCCTTGTTTCTATTTGTATCAAGCTTGTTATTTTATGGTTATCTGCATTTGATATTTACTGACAGTAGTGCAACATCTCTTCCTTTTCAGTGTGGCATGCCAGAGGATTGTTATGCATCTCGTGATAGTCAGAGAGTACAGTTTTCAATGGCAGTATGTCACTCAATATTATCTTATGATAAGGAGCTAGTTAAAACAAAGAACCACAATATTATTGTACTGTATCTGAACTTACTGGTCATTTTTTGTTTGCATTTCTTTCCATGGAATTTGCATGCTTGTTTGAAAACCTTAATGGCACTGCCATAGAGGCTTCTCCATATTACCAGTGAAGATTAGGTGGGATCCTTATTTTATGATCTATTTCTTTGAGTATTTTTACTGTTGGGAATGAAAAAAACTAAAATAATGTTTCCTGTCTTTTGGCTAGTTCTTGAGCATATGGAATGCATTGTAGCAAAGTTTAATAAAAAAATAATGAAATAAGCTGAAATATGCTACTGATAATATCTTTAAAGGTATTTGAACTTTTTGAACATTATATGCCTAATCAGAAAGCCTGAAGTCTTTGCTAATTCTGTTTTATAATGTCTTTCTGCTCTTGCACACTATTGACAGGCTTCAGTAATGGGAGCATAAAGTTAACAGGACTGATAATGGGCTGCCTTGCCCAGCAAACCCCCTGCATCGAACAGGAACTTTGCTTTACTCACAGACTTGCTGATGAGGAATAGCTTATTTACAGCAGAAAATCTAATCATAAATCCGGCCCTTGTTTTTTTCAGGTCTGGAATATCTGTGTGAGTGGTATTCTAACATTGAATTAATTACAGTTTGGTTTGGGTTTGTTGTTTTTTTTCATTATTATATTAGTTATATTACAATGGAAGAGCATTTCAATGTTGAACAAGCCTTAAAAATCTTTCTCCTTTTTTCTATATTTTTAACTCCATGCTCACTTTTGACTGGATAGGGTCATGCAGTTCTCTCCTGTGCTGTTTTTGTTCTCCTCAGTCAGACCCTTCTGTGTTGCTTTTGGGTCAGAATCTTCTTTTACATCTATTGATCATGTGAAGATGGATGTAGAACTATAATCTCAAAGATCTTTCTGGTTCATGATACCGGTGTGCTAAAAGAAAAAAGCAGAAGTGATGATTGGTATATATGCTAATTGAAAGGCAAAAGAGCAGTGAAGTCCGTTTCTGTTTAAAAGACATCAAATTTTTAAAGCAAACATGTTTAAATATATCTTCTCTCCAAGTCACAACTGATAGTGCTACTTTGCTGAGCACAATGTTGATGAAGATGATCTGTGTAAGATCCATCTCAGCAAAATCTTCACTGTGATGTTTTTCTGAGAACAGGTGAACTGCTTGGCCTTGTCTGCTTCACGGGGAACGTGACACTTCTGGCCTCTTGGCATTTTATTGCCTTCCACTGCCATGTACTCTTTGTTACAGACTCAAATGCCAATTCAAGAAGATAGCTCTTTAATTAAAATATTCAGAATCGTCACCTGAAGCATCTAAGCAAAGATACTCTTTGTACTCTCCATATTATTAAAACACCATGCACCAATGTTTCAGGTAAAAAATGCTTTCTGCAGCAGCCAGGAAAGTCTGGTGAGAACAGTTCATCCCATACATTTAATTTTCTTTAAAGATTTCTAATGTACACAGAAAGCATCTTTGTTTCATTTATCTGAATCACCTCTGCCACAGACCATGCATGGTCGTTCTCCCAGTACACATGCTATCTTGGACTGGTCACTCAGGTCAACCAGGGTGAACCTCAGGCACCTTTTGAGTTACACAAGCCAATTCTGCCTTCCTTACTGCACAACAAGGTATTCAGCAGGACTTATGGAGCAACTCTGCTGGGCAATTCTTCCTACTCTTAGCTTCTAGGAGTGAAAACTGTGAAAGGGCAGTGGAACCTGCTGATCAGAAGCATACTTTATTCCTTCTGCTGGCTTGCAAGAATTCAGTGCAAACTTGCTTTCTATTTTAGGTATCGAAACATGAACAACAACCAAAGCTGTTGCTTTGCAGGAATGTCTCTGTTAAAAGTTGATTTCTTGGCATAATCTTGGCATATTCTCCTGTCCTTTATAGCTGAGCAATGAAGGTAGCTAGTAAGGTTGTAAAGTTAACTCCTAACCAATTCAGCTCATTCTCCATCTCAACATGAAAGTCAAATACATTCCATTTCTGGACCGAGAACTTTATGTAATGAAAAAAAATGTTAATATCTAAAGAAATAAAAAAAACAGGCACCTAAAGACAATGAACCCTGGAATATTATTTTGTTTAAGAAGAAAGCAGACTGAAGGGGCTCCATCCAAACCAAAATTACAGGTTTTGAACTGTTTATAAGAAAAAAACATCTGATTGCCTGAAGCCCTGGCAGTCTCAAACACATATTTGTGAAAGTGGAGGTGAAATGGCGCTGCCACCTCCGGTGAGGACTGGCTGTTAAAAAAGCACTGATGGAGACAGCCTGGAACCATAGTAGCTGGTTGTATCTATGACCCATTTGTTTCTGCTGATGACCAAAACTCAGGAGAAAGTGTGAGGATTTTGATGGCAGATGGAAGATGAAAAATCTTCCACAATTCTTCCTGATCCTAATTAGCTGAATTATGGTTTAGGTTTTTGTAAATGAAGGTGCTTTTTTTTCCCCTGCTCTTAAAAAAAATGTAGATATTTCCTCATTAAAAAAAAAGATTGAATGCAGAACAGTTTTATCTTCGTATACTGAAGTAATTCCATTTAACTTTCTGTAGGGCTGGCCTTTGCTATTCTGTCTTCAGTCCATCCGGTTTTTGGTTTATATGGCTCTTTCTTCCCTGTCATTATATATGCCATATTTGGAATGGGACGTCATGTTGCAACAGGTAAGTGTCTATTTGGTAATAACATTTTCAGAAATAAGATATTGAAAAGTGAACATTTTTGTTGTTGTTGTTATAAGATCAGTGGAAGTTATCTAAGACTAAACAGAAATAAGATTTTTTTTGCTACTTTTTACAACTTTTTTTCCAGCTTAAGTACTTCAAAGAACCTCATTAAGAATATATAGCAGTTATTCCTACCATTATAATTTAATATTGCATTGACACTTCCTTTGTAAATGTAGTTTATTAAGGGCTTTTGTATTTTAATTCTACTTTAGAAATCTGCTTCAGGCTAAGATTTTAACAAAGGGCTCAGCCAATAAGCTATATGCAAGCAGGAATGAAAATGTCCCAACTGCTTCTTAAACCATAGAAAACACACATTACTTCTCACCTGTCTAAACCACAAACCTTTAATTTTTCACAAAAGAAGCTTTCTGTGCCTATTGCCTGCTATTGTGTTAAAGCTAGAGATTCTTCCAGTGAGTTCAATACAACCCCTTTCCACTTGCAGAGTAATTGGGTAGGCAGCAAAAGTAGCTACAAGAATCGAATGACTGATTTCCTAATAGGTTGGCAAATGTTCTGATTCTGACTCCAAGAAACTAAATTATAGATGGAAGTGATGTGCAGAAGTGGGCACTTGGTAGCCTCTGAAGTTTGCAGGAAGGATGAGGCAGGCCCATAATAACACAGAGCAGGACTGGGTAAAGAGAAGCAGCCTCTGGTTGTCAGAAGATTTAAGCAGAAGGAAGTATGTTTTACCTGTGGAGGAGAAAAGTTCCTGAAAGGAAAAAAGATAGTTCTGGGTAATCACTCGCAAAATGAAATGCAGAATCTGATTGCTTGTGTGTAGATACTTTAGTTTATGTAGTGATTTAGTAAGAAGTTAGCTACATATTTTGAGCACCTTTTGTGTCAAAAAAATTTCAGTTAATTAAAAATATTATTAATATTTTAAAAACAGTTTACATATAATTTTAAAAAAATTAAAATATTTTAAAATGTTAAAAAAAGCTGAACAGCTATAAATTTTCTTAGAGCAACAGGAAAGATGAAAGTTTGTTTTCCCTAGAGGCACAGAAAGTATTTGAATCTTTTAATGGCTGAGAAGGATCTGTGGATGCTGTTAGTAACCTGATGCTGTAATGGGTTTTGAGATGTATTCAGCTCATGTGAAAAGAAGAGGCATTAAAAAAAGTGAAAATTTAGAAAATAATTTTGACTCGAGTAGATATTTATTAGCATACTTATTAAAACATAAATCTGTATTAAAAAGCTGTTTCAAAACTGAATAATTTACAGTGTATTTTCAGCAGTTTATCAGTGTAAGATTATTAGGAAGACAAGAATCCATCATATGATCATATGTAAGAAAACAGATAAATAGGTATCTGGCTGACAAATTCTAGTAATGAAACTAGATGATAAAATGGGTAAGTAAAGGTGTTAAGTGTGATGCTTTATCCTTGGGACGGAATACAATTCAGAGAATTATTTACTGAGTCCCATAGCTCCATGGTTGTGGATTCCTGCAGTCCTTGGTGTGGAAATCTGTTCCTTTCATGTGTGTCTGCTCCGTAATGTAATCTTAAGAAAAAAGAGGCAACAAAGCAGTTCTCCTGCAGTCATGAAGAATTTTTTTATTTTATAAATGTATGAGACATGCTGTTCCTTTCTGTAGAAATGTCTCATGTACTTGTCCTACCGACCTTGCTTAAGGCATCCTGGTGTGCAGACTGAACTGGAGCTATACTGCCTGCTTCACATCCTCAAATGCTCTGTAATTCCTCACGTACATTGGTGACACAGAGCGGTGCTTTTCGTATGTAAAGAGATTATGAAATTGCCCTGTGTTAGCTAAGTCAACCATCTTTATATGAAATGGAAAACTAATAAATGTCCCAGTTCTGTCAACTTTTAGTCACTTGAAACGTCTCTTCTGTGAGAAAGTTGATCTACTTTAAAAAGTTGCTTGCTTGAAAATCTAACATCTGACCCACCCCTTTTTCTTGACTGTTTGTGGCAGAATTGATCTTGGAGCATCCTCTGTGACAGCTTTATCTGTCATAATATTGCATATAGGTCTTTGATTTCAGGTAGAATTATATGTAAACTGTTTTTAAATCCAATTTTATGTAAACTGGGTTTTATCTGTTTTATTTGGGGTTTGTTTTGGTTTGTTTTTGTTTGTTTGTTTTTAAGTAAAATGAGAGAATGGGTTTGAAAGAAAAAAAAAATCTGAAAAGTAAAATACCTACAACAATCCTGAGTGGTTTATGGAAAAAAAAAAACCTAAAGGAACTGTCACAGGGAAGAATTTGGCACTTGTAGAGTGGAAAGCTTAGCTAAATGAGGTGAGCAGAAAAGCCGTGAAATGACAGGTCAAATATATGCAGGTAGTATAGAAGGATTAAAAAATGAATTTGAAGAATGCCATGGAAACGATAATCAAACTGGAAGTTAAATGTTCTTTCAATACATCAAAACAAGGACTCTGGCAAGGAAACTGGTGGGACACCTTTCTGACAAAGGTATAAGAAGGACATTCTGTGACAAGATCACAGCATTGTCAAGTTAACAGTGTAATTGCACTGTCAGAAGGGCTTTGGAGGGAATCCTGGGAACTGCAGCCCTGTATAATAAAAATTAGGATACTGAAATATAATCAGAGTCTGCTTGAGAGGAGTTAATATGACTCCTGTAAAGGAAAATCCTACCTTACTAACCTCCTTGAGTACTGTATGAGTGTTAGTAAGCACATGGAAAAAGGAAACCTTTAATATAAAATATCAGAATGGTCAAACTGCTACTGATAAGGTTCCACATCAAAGGTTACTAAAGAAACTAAGTTGCCCTTGTGATTAAAAAAAGTTCTTTTATTGATTATTATCAGGTTAAAGGATAAGAAATAATAGGTGGGACTCAGTGGTTCAGTGTGAAGGTGTCCTTGGTAGGCTCCCGAGTTCATGCGGGGACATTTACTCTATAAAGGCCAAGATGAAGCTAGAACTGTGTTCACCATGTCCTGCAACAGTAGTAACAAGGAGGGCTCAATGAAACTAGTGGGAGATCTCTTTAAAAGACTTTTAAAGTATAAAGAAAATACTGCGACAGATAGTGAATTTATGGAGCCTGCTCCCAAAGGACATTGTAGAGGCAAAAAATGCAAGCAGTTTCAAACAGAGCTTTGACAATTCATGAATGCTAGTCCATAAACAAAATCTAAAAGGGCCAGATAAGGATATACTTCCCTAACATAACAGCTATGGATACTGAAGGATTATGAGAGGAATGGCCTGAAGAATATGGCCAGGCTTGTGTGCTTTCATTGGGTAATGCTCTTGATTGCCACAGCTGGAAGCAGAGTACTGGAGAAGATGGACCATTGGACTGAGATAGGAGGGTATTTCTTATGCTCTTAGAGCTTTGCAGAAATGCATTGTGCTTTTTAATATTAACTTATCGTCCTTATTTATCTGTATGTCATTAAACTTGCTTTACTTTTTTCAGTAAATGAATGTTTCTTTCATAATCTGTCTCCATCTGTTAGAGTGCTAGGTACTCTATAAAAGGCTAGGTACTATATACATATATATAGAGAGAGTGTGTGATTAATTGCCCTAGAAATCTAAATGGTGAACATTTAGGATTCTCAGGAAAAAATGCAGTTTCATCACATCTAGGGTGAATTAAAAACATTCCTGATGACTTTAAATCATTGTGAATTGTTGTTTTCAAAACTTTTTCGTTAATATGTCTAAATAAGGCACTGGAATAGGTTGCCCAGGGAGGTTGTGAATACTCCATCCCTGGCAGTGTTCAAGACGAGGTTGGACGAGGCCTTGGATGATATGATTTAGAGTAAGGTGTCCCTGCCCATGGCAGGGGGGTTGGAACTAGATGATATTAAGGTCCTTTCCAACCCTAACGATTCTATGATTCTATGATTCTATGATTCTATAAATGTATTTAGAAAAGAATTTGCATTTAATTTGTCATACAAAAGACATTTTGTGCGAAGAAATGTTTGTTACATAAAAAGATTACCTTAAAAATTGTTCTTATCATGACAGGAATGCACAAAATGGCACTTTCACTCATAATGGCCAAGTTTTGAAAAAGAGACCATAACTGATGAGTATGGACCGATACAGAACTACTAGTGACTAATGTGTGGCTTTTCTTATAGGAACTTTCGCTTTAACTTCCTTAATATCTGCCAATGCTGTTGAGCGTCTTGTTCCTTCAGCCAGCGCTAATTTCACTACAAACAATAATTCAGGAGTTTTGGGCCTACCAGAGTTCGAAATGCAGAGGATTGGTGTTGCAGCAGCAGTGTCATTTTTAGGAGGAATCATCCAGGTTTGTGGTGAACACATTCTTTATACACTGCATTTGTGACAACTATGACTTTTGTAATACTTTTCAGCACTTCTTTGAGAAAAAGAGAACATTGGGTCTGGTCCAATGTTAATGAATGATGAAATTAATGTGTTTTAAGAATTTGCTACTCTTTCGTTGAGATATACTGATTGCATGTATACATGTTCATCGGGTGTTGCAATACGAAGTAAAACCACAGCGAGCTCTAATACAGTATTCAGTTGCTGTTGGTGCTCCCTTTCCTTCTCCTTCAGAAACAAAACATGAATCAGCTCCTGGTAAGCACTGACATATTCCTGAGGATTTCTGTTGCTCTTTGCTGGAAGAAAAATCCATACAGTATTCAATAATTAAAAACCATAGGGAAAGCATCTTTAAAATCTTCTAGAGTTCTCACACACATCATTAAAGTGAAACAAATTAGTAAAACAGGTGTCTTCAAATGATTCTCCAAAGTTTATTCAAATGATTAGAGGTCTTATAGATTTCTTGTCTTTTTCTTTTCTGATCATGAGCTCTGAGTTCCTTTATCCATTGCCAGTTGCTTAGGTCTTCAAAAAAGGCTTCCCTCTTTCCTTCTTAATATTAAAATGGAAGAAGTGTTCTATCACTTGACATTGCAACACCTTCTGGGTAACCTGGCCTTCTGAAAGAAACCTAAACCCCTGTGTTTGATGCTTTGGATCTCTATACTATGCAGAGCATGAGTGACGGAGCTTGGAATGGCATTTCCAGTGGCCTGCATGCTTGGTGGGAACAGGGTCATATGCTTATGTTAGTCAGTAGGATACATCAAGAAGCAAGTTCATTTCTGTTGCACTTTTTTTTCATTCTTTTATTGGTTACAGAGTTATGACTTGGGGTAGCAGCATGAGCAAAACCCAATGGATGACATACAGGGTAGAGCTGATGCTGATTATGCCTGGCTGCTGCATGTGCTGTCCTGTTGCACTGGTGTGTGCAACATGACACTGCATCATGTGCAGGGTGCTTGTATCAGTAGAGTCCTTTGAGCATCCACGGAGTTCTTCATATGGGAGCACTGCACTCACAGCCTGACAATCTCCTGTGTTGCCCTCAGAGAGGCCAAAATGTCTTAAGTGGCAAGCTGGTACCTGCATTTGATCTGACATCAAAATCCAATGCAGAATTATTTTGCTTAGCTGCTGATGAATCCCATTAGGTGTGTAAATCCTCTAGACCTATTACTCTTTCGTTCTGAAAAGTTCTGCTTTATTGTGTGCCTTCGACTGCACCAGCTGGCTTATGTCAGCCTGTGTCCTATTTAAGCCTGATTGGAATAAGAAGAACTAAAAAATCCTCTGCCTGCTTCTTCAAAGCAGGTCTGATAGGGAACTGTGCCATGTGCCTGGGCTCTTCTCCTAGGTCAGTAATGTTGCTTACGTTAGAGTCATACTAAAACAGCTGGTGCTTGTAGTGCTGCCATTAGTCTTTTATGCAAATTTAATGGTTAGAGACCAGATTAAGATACTTATTTCCTAGAGTAGTACCTTGTAGCTACTGATATGTGATATGTAAGTGATAGTCTGGATCGAGGCTGTGATTAAACTTTGCCATCATCCCAGGTGCTATGAAGTGTGGGAATCCATGTTTCTCATCATGATTCCAGACTCCTAACAGGTGCTGCATTTCCTAGATAAGGCGACAGGGCACATCTTGCTGTTAATGAAGAGCTAAGTCAGTGTGTTGCTTCTAGTTATCAGATTAAATTAGAAATTAAGGAATAGCTTGGAATAGATGTGGTATTCTGTGACAAGAAGAATAAAGTGATGCATGTTGAGGCAACAGTTTTCCATTGAAGACATCCTGAAATACAAAAAGAAATGGAATTGTTAGTGGAATTGGGATGGTATTTCTCTGGAAAGGGAGATAACCTGGGTAAAGTTGTCTACTGTTAAAGACTGTTTATTCATTCTAAAAAAAGTTAAAATGCAGTGCTCTAATTAGCCACCAATTATACAGAAACAGCTGATGCTATGACTATCCCATTGGGCAGCTTCCATACAAAGGATGAAATGTCCCTCTCTAAGGCAGGTGGTTCCTTCTTAGAAGCAGTAGGTAAAGACCTGAACTTTTTTGGCCAGAAAAGCAATTTGATGCTATTTTCCCTGTAGCCTGGCTAAGTATTCCAATCAGCAAATAGCATTAAAAAAAGAACAAAACATACGAACTAGTGAGTCATGGAGGAAAGGCAAAGGGAAGAGGTGTGGTTTTGAGATTAATTGCTGTTGGCTGCTTTGCGTTTTATGAAGACTAGAAGTGTGCATCTGTGTGTGAGGCAAGCTCTGAGCAGGTTTTGTGAATCTCAGTGCCATATAGACTTGAAGTACATTAGAACTGGTTTCTGATCATCAAGTAAGAACAGGTGGAGCTTCTGAGATTTTAAATATGTGGCTTAGTTGCTTAATTTTTTTTTCAGGTAATAAGTTTCAGATTCCTTAACTGCTTTTTATATCTAATATTTGAAACAGTATGGATAAAAGAAGGAAGATATTTGGTTATCTTAAGAAGCATTCTAATGAAGATAATATGGTATTAAAATAGAAATTAAGTAAACACAATGTAAGAACTGTAATTATAAAAAGAAAAAATACAATGCATTCACAGAGACTATTTCATTTTTAAAAGCAGAATGGAAGGTATCATGCAGATTTTTTTCATGTTGTATAACTGCTACTCTATAAACAGGGTGATGGAAAATTAAACAAATTAATGAAATTATTCCCTAGTATTAAATACCTCAGAATTATTGATGGGGAGATGAAATAATAGAATATAACAGATGCCAATGGAAGAATTTTGTAATTAGAATTGGATGATGCCTTTATAGCAGAAAAAAAAATCCTCAAAAAAATAAGCCTTTGGGTAAGATATTTCTTCTTATTAGTATATTATCTGTTCAAGAATGCTTGCATAATTGTATGTGTCTATAAAAACCTCAAAATTCTAAACTAAAATTCAATATTTAATTTGCTGAATAAACAGAAGAAAGCTGCTTGCATTTCAGAGTGAGGAAAAATGCATATCAGAGTGAGGAAAAAATAGGTTTTATCCTAGAAAGAAGCATTATTCTCCTAAGAGCTGCAGTGATACATACTTCAGTTGTGCTACACTTCTGTAAGTGCTGGTTATTTCATTCCAGCAATTTGTTTTTTAAAGACTTACAGATAATTAGTTGCTGATGTACAGTGTCGGAAATAAAAAATGTGTCTGGTTATCAGGAGAACAAATTTACATGGTCTATTTTCAGCTTGCTTAATAATGAAGCAGCACATTTGAATATGAAGTGTGCTTTTGTAAGGCTAATGGTATTGTCCAAAGCTTTGTTTCCCTGTGGGGAAAATCATGCTGCATTATTCTATGTTACACACAGTTTTTCATTAGGTGCAAACATGAGTCTTTATTGTACAGTGATAATCAGGAAAAGATTTTCTTTCAGTGGACATAACTTCTTGCAGGCTCATATTCTGTATGTTGAAAAGTACAACTAGGCTGAATGGGAGTCCTGGTTCCCACAGTTATGGCACATCGCAGAATCAGAGAATCATAGAATTGTTTAGGTCAGAAAAGACCTTTAAGATGCTACATGTTAGTCCACAAAGACCACAGAAAGAAGTCTTTTTCAGGTCCTGGGGTGAGGAAAGCTCATGCCAGACACCATCAGAAGCTATCAGATACTCTCAAGCCACCCACAATGAACTTAAGAGCTTCAATTGAAAAGACCAAAAGCTACCAATTATAATGTCTACTGAAACAGGTTTAAAATTGATGACTTGGTCAAGCTGAACTGTGTCTGACTGTTTTCTCCATGTGGTCTGTAGATGCCTTCACTTTTGCAGCTTCTGATTCTGAGAGAACCAATGCAACATGCTAAATGAGAAGCTCACAGCCTGTACTGTTTCTCTTGAAGAGGTATTCCCCATGGCTGACCTTGTCTTCTTGGCCCATGCAGCAAAAAATCAGAGAGAGTGCCACCAGGTTTTATTCAGTTTAACAGGGGAAAAAGCCACACCTTCTACGATGTGGAGTTTTGAGGGGTTTAAATTTCATTTGCCAAAACTGAATTCATGCAGCAGGTAACATGACATCAGCCTTTCAATTACTGTGGACAGAAAGTCTGACATTAGTGATTTCCAGAGAGCTGTTAAGGGATAAAAATTTTTACTGGCCATAAAGTTAGATTTACTACACAGCAAGAGTGGAATTTTAACAATAATAAACTGAGTGTGTTGTCATGGTAAGAAAGTATTGAAAGTGGATAAGAACCAAAAGGGCTTGGATTAATGAACATAGAGGGCTTTGCTTTTTGCTATTACTCTTTTCTCCTGGCTCCATCCCCATTCTTTTCTTCTACTTGTCAGAGTAAAATTATGGACCAGTAAAGACAGCTGCAAGAAAAGATTCCCTTTATATTATCTTTCTTCCATTCAAAACTATAGGGTTTTTTTATGTTTTTTTTTTCTTTTTCTAAATGCTACCACTTCTGTCTAATCAATTGGTTTTAAAACTTCTTTCCAAGATCTTTTCTCTTTTACAGTGCATTAAATCAAGACTGCTTTCCTTTACTTTCTCCTGAGTTTTTGTTGGGTTTTTTCCCTTTCTCTGACAGCTCCTGATGTCATTCACATGAAGTTAATTGAAAATGTATACCTGGTAAAAGCAAAATTCATCTTGAGCCTTTTGCGTGGTGTGATGTCCTGAAGAAGCTGCACAAAGGAACTAGAGCCATGTGTATTACAAACCATTTTTGTTACTGTGATTGTTCTCTCTCTGAAATATTCCTTCATCCCCTAGGAACTAAATATTCAAGAATGAAAAATTCTGAAGACAATTCTGAAATACATGAAAATATTCTTCCTTTCACATTTTAAGAAAAGCCCATGATTAGTACAAATAACGAAAACAGAAACATATTTACCTTTGGTATTTTTTTTTATTTTATTTTTTGCTGTTCTGACATTTCACTATCAGTTTTCCCTGTAGTCTGTCTGCATCAAAAGGAAGAAAAATCATACAACTTATAAGAATGTAAGATGGGAAAGCTGCAAAAACAACCACAGTAAAGATAAAATAGATTATTAGAAATTTCTTCAAAAATATTGAACTTTCTGCATTTTGGTTATTGCTTGGTGGGTGAAAGATTTTATGGCATTATGCAATGTAACGCAATTGTGTGCTGCCAGCTGAGCTTAGTTTAAAATAGTATCTATCCAAGAAGCAGTGACAGCCTAGCTGTATGCCTTTTGCCTAGCATGGAGGGTGAATTGGAGAGTTCATAGAATCATGGAATAGCCAGGGTTGGAAAGGACCTTAAGATCATCTAGTTCCAACCCCCCTGCTATGGGCAGGGACACCTCACACTAAACCACTCCACCCAAGGCTCTGTCCAGCCCGGCCTTGAACACCATCGGGGATGGAGCATTCACAACTTCCTTGAGCAACTCATTCCAGTGCCTCACCACCCTCACAGGAAAGAACTTTTTCCTTATATCCAAGCTAAACTTCCCCTGTTTAAGTTTTAAACCTTTACCCCTTGTCCTGTCACTCTAGTCCCTAATGAAGAGTCCCTCCCCAGCAACCCTATAGCCCCCCTTCAGATACTGGAAGGCTGCTATGAGGTCTCCACGCAGCCTTCTCTTCTCCAGGCTGAACAGCCCCAACTTCCTCAGCCTGTCTTCATACAGGAGGTGCTCCAGTCGCCTGATCATCCTCATGGCCTTCCTCTGGACTTGTTCCAACAGTTCCACGTCCTTTTTGTATTGAGGACACCAGAACTGCACACAATACTCCAAGTAAGGTCTCACAAGAGCAGAGTAGAGGGGCAGGATCACCTCCTTCGACCTGCTGGTCACGCTCCTTTTGATGCAGCCCAGGATACGGTTGGCTTTCTGGGCTGTGAGCACACACTGAAGCTGGCTCATGTTCATTTTCTCATCGACCAACACCCCCAAGTCCTTCTCTGCAGGGCTGCTCTGAATCTCTTCTCTGCCCAACCTGTAGCTGTGCCTGGGATTGCTCTGACCCAGGTGTAGGACCTTGCACTTGTCATGGTTCAACTTCATGCGTTTGGCATCAGCCCACCTCACAAGCGTGTCAAGGTCCCTCTGGATGGCATTCCTTCCCTCCAGCGTGTCAACCAAACCACACAGCTTGGTGTCATTGGAGTTGATCTAGGCCTATATAAATGTAAAAAAATTTAACGGTAACTGTCAAGAAAACTCACATGCAACAAGATTTGGGAGGCTTGTTTCAATACAACTTTTTGTCTCATCTTGATCTAAGCAGTTTCTGTACATTACTTGTATTGCAAAAACAGCAGAAGTTTCCCATACCAACTTATGCTGAAAATTATACTCTCCTTGAATATTTTCTGTTCTGGTTGCTTCATTGTTAGGTCTTCATCGTGGAAGATATATAGATGCATGCTATATTTATTTAGCTACAATGTAAATAAAAAGTCAGATGCACATGCTGATGAAATATTGCCTTTGTTTCTGGAAGTTCTTAGCTACCTTCTGCAGTAAGACCTGGAGGACCAAGTGTAGGCTGCTGCTTGTTTAGCTGAGTGGCTACAGAAATTGGCTATCTCAAAACGTACTTATGGTAAAAACAGTGATTATAAACAAACATTTAAAAGTGTGTTTGAAATGTGACTTTTTAGTTCCTGCCTGTGAAGCATCCCCTTAAAATGCTGAAGATTTAAAGTAAAAAAGTTTATGTAAAAAAAAGAAACAAATGAGAGTGATGCTGAAGTTGCCAGGTTCCACAACCATGACACCTTTTCCCTGTGCTTCACTGCAATAACTTTCTCTGAAAGTTAATGTTAGCTAATATTTCTCTGTGATATTATGTAGTACATAGAATTGTCTCTGTGGTTTGGATTCCACAGCTAAATAAAAATCCATCTCTCTGGAAAGTAAATTATTACACAATTAGAAATTTCACATCCATACAATACAAACTGATCTTAGAAAACAAACAAAAGTTCACTAGGGAAGGAAGAATATAATTCTCATTGAACTTTGCTACTGTGAACAATGTTTTAAATACATGACTAAGCACACTGTTAGAACAAGCTGCTAAATAAAATGCCTGAAGTTAGTAATTATCAGTTTTAGGCCTGACTAACTAAATTACCACTCACTGAGGGTATAACAGTAATTACCATTATTGGGGTCCAATTTTGAATGGCAATCAATGTTCTGACTGTTCACAGTGCAGAGCCATTCACACACTGTTAGTGGGAAATAGAAAAAAATATCTCAGTTTTAATGTCTCAAATGGAAGAGAAAATTGCTCACTAGAGTTTTTTTGTGGTAAATTAAAAGCCACTCTGCTATTTTTTGTTTCTTTTGTGCTGTTGCACTCATAGCTCACTACATACAGGTGAAATTTATGGTGAAAAAACAAATAGTGCTCAGGCATAGAAAATGGCAACATTTGAGAATTATTCTTTTAGCTTCATAACAAAATGAAATAAAGAAAATGGGACCAGGATATATATCAAAAGGATGATATTTAGTATAGTAAGCAAAACATAAGCTTTTAGAAAGTATTGTAACAATAACTCTTTGCCAAGAGCATGGACTTTTTCAGGCAGAAGAATAGCAAATGCAGACGACTATAAAAAAAAAGAAACTGTTTTTTTTTTATCCTATGAATGTGCAGAATTCAACTGTAAGGGGAGATATTTTAAATGTAACTTAATATAGATAAGAAAAGGGTTAAATGTTACATAAATCACAGTACCATCTGTAAGTATGTAAAAACTTTGAACAAAGAAGTAAGAGCTGTCAAATCTTATTCTTCAGAGGAAAAGAGCAATTGCAGTCTAGGATAAGGTGAGAAAACATAGCAGGATGCAATACTTTGGGTATTTGTCCTGTATTTCTATGAAGTATTTGCAACAGTAGATTCAGCTGTAGTTCAGATTCTTGAATTAGAGAGGGATATTATTCTTTCATTATATGCCTGTGCTCTGAAATAACTTCTGTAAAAGTTGCAACGAAGTTGAAATAATCTTCAAATATAGCCGAGTCAAAATCTACTCTTTTTTAACCTAGCAGAGAAATGCAATTTGTATGTGTGATTGTGTTTATGAAATGGGATGTTGAATTTTTTTTCTGGTTTAAATTTTCTGGTTATATACAGATAGTTTACTTTAAGGTAGTTCAGGTATTTCTTAAATACATAGAAAATAGATTTTAATGGTCTTTAAAATAGTTTACTCTTACTGGAATTTTATAGAGTTTGTTCAAACAGAACACTTAAATATATAAACATCTCTGTTTCTCTGTAAAGAGAAACATTTTTATATATTTTTATCTATTTTATATATATGTATTTTTATATCCTCCACATCAGAAGTAACTTCTGTCATTCCCTGAACGCCTGCAAAACCAGAAACCTCAGCATATGAAGCTGATGCAGCTACAGGTAGTGGACTGCCAGCACTTGATGGTTTTCATATTATCATATTGCAACATGATAGTGCCAAGTATCACAGTATATAGAACCGTGCATGAAGGGTCAGTGGGATATCAGGAAGTTAAGAGTTTGCTGGAGGAGCAAAGCTATTGTGTGACTTGCGAAGGGAAAACTGATGGTGCAGCAGCCTGTGGTAGGAGATGATGGAGCTCTAATCATGTGAATCATCTCTCCATAGTTTTAGCACCTAATAAATTTGGTAGCAGTTGAAATTACTAACATTGGAAATCCTGATATCGATGTCTTGTCGGTTGTTAAACTGGACCAAGATATGGCCCATTGCCTACTCAGGCTGAATAGCAGTGGAATGGGAATGAGTCTTGGCACCATCATCAACTTTTGAGTTGTCAGTGTATTGAGTTGATTTTTTATGGTATTTATTGGGCTCACATATTCGATCAGGACAGAATACTAAGTTTCTCTGCGTCTGCTTTTGTTACTAATCTAGTGTTAGAGTGATGTAACACAAGGCAGGTAAATGTACAGAACTTCAGTGGGTTCTATTTTCAGCTATACTTGTCCTTCAAAGGACATTTGTTTTTTGTCTTTATCTCATTTGTCTTAAAGTTTGTTAAAAGGACCCTGGCCCTTTGTCCTATCACCTGGAAGCTGCTTGTTATTATAATTGCTAATGCTCATGCCTTTGCCTTTTAGGTAGTGATGTTTATGCTGCAGTTGGGCAGTGCCACACTCTTATTAACAGAACCAGTGATAAGTGCAATGACAACAGGAGCAGCTACACATGTTGTGACTTCACAAGTGAAGTATCTGCTGGGAATGAAAATGCCATATATATCGGGACCACTGGGATTTTTTCATGTGAGTCCAGTAAAAGAGATGGTTATTCCATTAGCTAGCATTTTCTTAACCATGTTGTTTGGCTATATATAAGAAATTTGTTATGTGTGCTTGTGAATGAACAGAAAACATTCATCTTGCTAGGTCTATTTGTAAGAACTTGTTAGGAAAACTTGATAAAGAATTAGCACAAATGAGTCTTATTTTGAAAGGATACAGAAATCAATTTAAAATATGTGTATTACAGCATCAATAATTTACTATCCTGAGGAATTACACATTTGTACACGGAGGTTTAACTCTTTCTGTATTAGCACATGGGAGGGATATATCCAAATGCCATTCTAAACATATTTTCTTCATATTTTACTGAATGAAATCTAACCATCATTGTGGCAAAAGGAAAATAACCTGTGATTTGTAGATCTCCTATGCAAAAATTGCCCTAGATATGTTGCTGGTTGCATTATTACATTATTTTACTTTTCCATGAGCACTGCAAGGGTACAGCTTTAATGTAATTTTCAGAAAATGCATACAGCCTTCCATACAGTATCATGGCTACTCCCTTTGGAAAGTAGATATTGTTGGCTGAAGCCTTAAAGGATAAAGTTATAAAATCCTATTGCATAAAAGATATGAGAACATACTCTTTATGGTAACTCATTCCAACAAACCTAGAGTTTAGAAGCTGTGACCATAATCTTTTGGCTGAAGCATTAGTAGTATTACAATGTTATCTGTCAAAATGATATTTTGATCATAATAGAACTTTCTTTATTTGTTGTGATGGTATTTACATTGCACTGGTAACAATAAATGGATTACCAGATGAAATGAGGCTTAATCTAGTTAACCACTAAATTAGGACACCTTATTTAAAAGCATTGACTTTATTTTCTTGCACTGTTCTGCTCTTTATTTTTTTCTGTCATTTTGGGTAATTTGTTAATGTTAATTCTGTGATGAGAAGATGTTGCTTTTTTCGAATGTTATTTCATAATACTTTATAAATTTGATAACAATTCATATCAATGTGAAGTATGAAGTTATGCATAACTTCATATGGATAATCCATTGGTAAGTTTTTTACAAACTGTAGTTTGTAAAACTAGTGTTTTACTAGGGACTGTAGTGACAGGACAAGGGGTAACAGGTTCAAACTTAAACAGGGGAAGTTTAGATTGGATATAAGGAAGAAATTCTTTCTGTTAGGGTGGTGAGGCACTGGAATGGGTTGCCCAGGGAGGTTGTGAATTCTCCATCCCTGGCAGCGTTCAGGACCAGGTTGGACGAAGCCTTGGGTGGCATGGTTTAGTGTGAGGTGTCCCTGCCCATGGCAGGGGGGGTTGGAACTTGATGATCTTAAGGTCCTTTTCAACCCTAACTATTCTATGATTCTACAGGACCAATTTATTGTGCTAAACACAAGTAATTTATTTTGCAGACATAAAATTAAAAGTGTCAGACATTTTTATGAGTAGTCAGCCTGTGAGACTATTGCAAATGATTCATCATATATTAAAATATTTTGTAATTCTTTAAAAACGTTTTCATAAATACTTCTTGATATAAAATTTGACTAGCCTCCTTTTCCTGGTGTTTCCATGGAGACTATACTTACATATAGGAATATTGTCATCTTGTAGGAATGACTGGTGTTAAGTGCCACAGCCCAGACATAATCAAAATATACATTATGAGCAATAATAAAGAACAGCAATGATGCAAAGAAATATTTCCATGTTGGTGTGCTGATCATATCATAAATGAGGTCATTCAAATGCTTTGAAAGAAATATATTCCCTTACCCCCTGTATTTTTCAATATAGCTGAAACAAGTTCTTTGCCCTTCACTTCACTTCTGAAATCAAACCAACCCCTTTGAACATTTTCCAAAGAAAAATTGTCCTGATTTTTTTAAGGTTCTGAATTGCTCTGTAGGGTTATGTGAAAACAAATGAATAAACAGAAAACCACCTGTGCGACTTAAAAGAATAATAAAAATGTCTCATATTTAGAAAGGAAAATTTTACCTGAGAAGTCTTTTAAAAGTTTCTCGTATCTGTTCAGAGTTTGGGCTGCTTTAAGAAGGTCTAGTACCCAAGTTGGAAGCACCAATTTGAATTTTAACATTTTCTTTTTTCACTAGTAGTAGTTTTATATGAAAATTATACTAATTAGATATCTCTTAATGTGTACAATTAAATAGAGAGCGAAAGGCAAATTTGGCATGTCTCTCTGGTCATGTTTTTTACCCCAAATTCTTGAAACCCAAAGACTGGTATTTTTGCTTACTTTTTTTTTTAATTTCTTCACTCCAAAACACCTCCCACTCACAAAGCCAATTGCTTCACCTGAGGCAGAACTTGGGCTGGCAAAGCAGGATAAGAATGTTTAATAAAGTGTGATAGGAGAGTTGAAAGTGAAGCTAGCCAGTGAAACCAATTTTTTATAGCAAGTGAGATCATTATGAAATATGTAAAAATGAACTTTGTATATGGAGAAAAATTCTACTAGGCTGGCATTGAGCCTATGGGATTTTTGTGTTTGCACACTGTTTGTGTCATTTATTAAATTTCATTTTCCCGTACGTGGTTTGTAACTCTGCAACTGAGCTGTACATTGTGTCATCAATTGGTATTTTGCAAATGGGAAAGGCAAGGTGAAGAAGAAAAATGGTGAGAGAAGGCTACATGTGAGATCTGATTTTTGCAAGAGACAAGAAAAATGTTACGAAGTTCTACTTAGTATCTGAAAACAGAAAAACATATCTATATTTGCCCAATATCCATGTGTAGATTTATCTATCCTTCCACAAATTTCTGAGAAAATGAAGAACTCCAAAATGAAATGCAACGTGACGAACTTACTTTGCAAAACAGGTTCTTTTTTGGTTGTGTTGCAAGTCTGTGGTAAAACCCCTGTGGTTGTGCTGCCTTCATGTTCCCACTATCCATCCTTTTTCTCCCCCCTTTTTTCCCCCATTTGCCTCTTATGCAGTTCACAGTAGATGCTTGTACTTTTTTCCCCACAGTGTGTTGTATTTGTCTAAAAATATCAGAATGAACCATTTCTGAAAATAAAATGAAGTTGTCTAGTCTTAAACTGTATTAAGTTTTTTAACTAATATGTTCCTTTAATTCTTTTGTCTGCTTCAGCCTCTATGCTTATTTTAGAATGAATCTTTTGGGTTTTCGTGATTACATTAAAAAAAAAAAAATCTCGGCTTTTCATTAATACATCAGAATACACATCCTTTCTAGAATAGAAACCATTACGGTGTTCATTATTACCATATGAAAACATGTGAAAATATAATGGGGTTCAAAGTCATTAATTTCCCATGAGAACAGGGACATATACATAGGTATATATATTTATGTACATTTGTGCAAAGTAAGAATATTGTTTTTTTCACTTATGTGCAAATTGCATCGGTTGCCAAAAAAGTTCACTGATTCCTCACCAGATTGACACATCATTTCCCTTAAAAATTTTTACACAAAGCTAACCAAAAAAGTAAAAAATCTAAAGGCAAACAGCTGAATATATTATTGCTATATCTTTTAATTTTGTTATTTACATAATGACACAAAAAAATTACTTTTTACACTATAATATCAAACTAAATTCTACTAAATAATTTCTATATTATTTCAGTAAGTACATCACCAAATGATCTAAAATACTGAATTTGTAATGTTTGTGATGAAAACATTTCTAAATATTTCTTTTGAATCAGATAGCAGTTATATTACAAGCTTGAACCCTAGGTGTTTACATTTAGGATTTACATTTTCACCTCAAAAGAGTACAGTAACTGTCTGGATAGCGTAATATATGAACTGTGTAGTACAGAGAGACGGCTATAGTATATGTTATAATATAGTATATTGTGTTAATAGCCACAGTGTCTCTTTTTCTGAAGAGCCTGTGAATGGTTTGTAAAATGATATCTTGGCTTTGTTGGTCATAATGACATGAAATGGGCGTTTTTAGATTTTCAAGGAAAATGGGAACAGACTAGTCAGTGTAAGCTCTTTAGTCTGATGCAGTAATTGATTTAATATTTATGTATTGCTGCCAGAACTGTTTCAGCGTACTACAGACACTTTGGGGATAGGGCTGGTGGTACAACTGTGAAAAAGCGCAGTATGTCTGAAAAAGCTGTGACAAAGGTCTACAAGATTTGGCTGCATGTTTTAAAATTGAAATGGAAGTTTCTTTTCTAAACAATTTGTGAAGACAGACAGAAATACTAAAAGTTTGTGCATATTTCTTTGTAATCCTTTGTTAGAATTGTATTTATTCACCCAATCCTGTGTCTCACTGTCTAGGAAAATGAAATTAAATTCTGTAAACACATATAGCTAACGCTGACTCTTCAATAGACACTGTTCATTTCAGAACAAGCCCACATCTCTTTGACTTAGATATTTAGGATTTAATCCATTTCCTTCCTTTTCTTACCACTTCACCTTAGATCTAGTTTAGCCTTTGGTGAGTTTGTGGGCACAGTTTGCAATATAGTTTTCCAGATTGCCTCCATTTGTCCTAATTAATCACAGCTTCTACTTGGACCCTGAGCCAAGTCCTGTCCTCTCATGAAAATTCATTCTTGGAAGTTATGGGTAGAAAGTTTAGTCTCAAGTCACTCAAAACACATTCCACACATAGTCTGATTGCAGTGGGGCAATATGTGGTTAAAAACCATGGGTTGATTACCATTCTTCGGAGTTACAACGTATATAGATCATATTATTTAACAAGTTGATTTTAAAATGTTCTCTGGGCTTCCAAGAAACATTTGTGCTGGGTTATACAGTGCATCCTTAAAAAAGGTCCAAGGGCTAAATTCTAAAGGACTTGACTCCATTTTTCCTCTTTATGAGGAAAATAACATATTGTTTATTTTACTGTAACTATCTTTAGGTTTTAAAATACTTTTTCCATTATATGTCATGAAAATAAAATGTATGAGAGAAGAAAAATCAGGAATTTCTTTCAATCTACTCATTCTTCAAAATGAGCATCAGCTCTTCAAGGAGTGACAGAAAAGTAGAAAAAAGTTTTATCATCATATTGATCACCTTTTGCTAGAACAGGGTTCTTTCCTAAGATATTTTTTCTACTACCTTTTCCTTTCCAATATAAATATGTGTATTTAAACTCCAAACTGTCAAAACTTGTTAGCATTATACATGTTTTTGAGAATAGGTTCTCTGGAGCAGAAAATTATTAATCTTTATTTTGATAAGACTACAAGTGTCACTTTTCATTTATTTTAGTGGTCATCTTAGTTGTTGCCAGAGAAAACACATTTTTAAATACCATTATTTCAAACTCAGTTGATTGATTTTGTTATCCTTAATGTCGTTGTTTAAAAAGAAGTTACTTGTGATGCAGTCTAAATCTACATCCTAGATTTTACCTTCTGTTCACTCTATGTTTATATTTCACAATGGGTCCCAGAGTACAAATGCAGAATTCAGGAGTCTGAGCCTACCTTGTTTTTTACCCCTGCAACTTTAATAAACTTGTGTATTATATAAGCATATATATATATATATATATATTTCATGCCTCTCTGTTCCTCAAGGCAATACACTTTTATTCATGAGGCCTGAAAATAAGTAGTGATAGGAATCTGATCTTTTCTTGATTTACTGGGACAGAAGTCCCATATAACATTCTTTACCCCTTTTAACCATAGAAGTAAACTTGTAAGTTTTTTCATTACTTTCTATAAATCTGTTATCATACTGATTTATGCCTCATTTCCTGGATTCCCAAATTCAGTGTAGAAATGAAATTACAGTTCCCTGTCATCTGTGCTGATGAGAAGGCAACAGCATTCTTTTGCGTCTGTTACTTACAACATTGCATTCATCATCAGATCCTCGTCACTCATCACCACTGATCATTTGTTCTAGTTTCAGCTGGGATGGAGTTAATTTTCTTCCTATTAGCTGATGCAGTGCTGTGTTTTGGCTTCAGTCTGAGAATAATGCTGATAATGCACCGATGTTTTAGTTGTCGCTAAGTAGCACTCACTCTGACCAAGGACTTTTCAGTCTCTCATGCTCTGGCAGTGAGGAGGGACATGAGAAGCTGGGAAGGAGCAGAGAGGGGACACCTGACCCAAACTAGCCAAATGTCATGCCCAGTATATGAACTGAAGGGAGTTGGCCAGGAGGTGCCAATTGCTGCTCAGGGATGGGCTGGCATTGGTCAGTGAGTGGTGAACAACTGTATTGTGCAACCTGTGTGTTTTTTGAGTTTTATTCCTCTCTCTCTTTTTCTTGTTATTGTTACATTATATCTTACTTTATTTCAGTTATTAAACTTCTGTTATCTCAACCCACAGGTTTTGCCTGCTTCTGAATTTCTTTCCCATCCCACAGGAGCCTGGATGGGGGGCAGTGAGCAAGCAACTGCGTGGTACTTAGTTGTTGACTGGGGTTAAACCATAATTCTATTCCTGTTCCATATTTCCATTCCACATGTTCCTTATATTCATCACCACATTTCCTTTATTCATCATAGACCCAACTATATTTTTCTGGTGATGTTTTACAGCATGTTGCAGCACACTTTGAGAAGCTGAAGGCCTCCTGTTTGCAGCTCTGTAGGTCTGATCCAGTTTCCTCTTTCTTTTTTAAGACTGCAGTCATCTTCTCATGTGCAGTGATATAGTCATATACCAACAACCCAGAACACGTTGCAGCAGGACTTTGAACCTTATGGTCCATCATGCTGTACCACTTTGCACCCTTGCACCTGCAGTTCTTGGACCTTGCCATGGATTTTCCCCTGGAAAGCACCTGCCACTGGCTTGTGAATTATCACTTTGTCCCCTACCCTCTTTTTGCTTCTTCCTTTGCAATTCTTAAGTATAGGCCAAGGAAAGACACAGGGCTTAGTAGATAACATCAGTTATTTATATAACCAATAACATGTATACACAAGTTTGACAGCTAATTAATGCATGTGGCATCTGGACCTGATCAAAGCCTGCTCCATGGAGCACTGTGTGTGTGATGGTCAAGAGCAAGCAACAAGGAGACTGAGTGCACCCTACTGAAGCTATACAGTTACTCTGGAAAAATAAACCTTTGTGCACAGAAGCTTCTCTCAACATTTTTGTGCAACACTCATCTCAATGAATTTAATGAGACTGATTAAGAAGATACATATCACATTTACTGTAATTGTCTTGCTTGCTTCTATCAATAGAAATTTGTAAATGCCTATACACAAATATTTGTTGCATTTTTTGAGATCTCAGAAGTCCATAGTAATAATATTTGGTGATTTTCTTCCTTGCAAAATCTTACGTGTAGACCAATATGTCAGATGACTCAGCTCCTGCCATACTGATTCAGCTCTCACAGAGTATTTAAGATGTCTGAAGTTATGTAGAATATGCCCTAGCATGTGACCCAAAATCATCTTTTTTTTTTTGATATGTGATTGTTATTTGCCATTCACTGTAGATTTATGCCTACATATTTGAGAATATCAGATCAGTTCAGTTGGAAGCTCTACTTCTCTCCTTGCTGAGCATTGCAGTGCTTGTTCTTGTTAAAGAACTAAATGAGAAATTTCAGAAAAACATTAAAGTTGTTCTTCCCATCGACCTCCTTTTGGTAAGTACAGAATCAAATATCAGGCTTTTTTGTTTACAAAGATTTCAGTGGTTCAACTAATCTGCTGAACTTTACCGTGTTGTCTACAGCTATCCACAGGCATGCCTGCCATTTATTAAATGGACAGCTAATTTTCATGGCTGTACGTTAAATGTAAGAACAGGGAACAGTTTGGCTATATAATTAAGACAGAAGTGACATACATTCCCAATTTATATAATATTTTTCATTTGTTTATTACTTTTTACATAATCATAAGAACATGAAGCCTAGAATGTTAAAGCATAAGAAGTTTGAAATGGAAAATGAAAAGTAACTGGCACATTGTAACTCCAGGCAAGTCTTGTGCTGTGTAGTTGCGGCTTAGATGCTGCTTGTTATCTATATGCGACAAGGTTAAATAGCTATGCTATTGTTTTCTGTGGTTTTACTTATAATTTTCCTTTCACACAGCATGGGCATGAATTTAGAAAAGATGGTTGAAGAAGAACTATGATGCCACTAACTGGAAAGGTTTCCAAGGCTTCACAGAGGCTTGTACAGATCCCTTTCATTAACACAAAATATACAAACTCCACCATAGTTCTTCAGCCATCTTTTCTAAATTTATTATTGTGTCCAGATCTTAGTTTCTTTTGACTCTCTTCTACATCTGCAAAAATGTTCATAATAATATTTCCATGTCTTACTGGATTGATCTGAGGATAAATGAACACTATCATGTGCTTAAGTATGGCAATAATAGGGACCATGTGAAAAACTAAAACCAATCGAAATGTAACATCTTTTTCTCTGTTGAATCAATAGATAATTGCTGCATCCGTTGCTTGCTACTATGCTGATATGGAATATGTCTATGGGCTAGAAGTTGTGGGACATATTCCTGAAGGGTAATGTGGCTCTTATTAGCTTGTGGTTTTTATGTATGTTTACTTCTGAGAACAGTCTCTGAAGAGGTCAAAGAAGTTTTCTGAAATAATGGCAAAAAAGTTTTTTGTTAATTTCCAACCTCCTCACTCTCTCACAATTGAACCCCATGTTATCAAGGTATATCAGCATAGATATCATTGTCAAAATACAGTCTTTCTTGTACATTTTTCTAGCTTTTTTATTACTTTATGGAATAACAAATACGTACTAAGTACCTGATAATGGCTGATGGATGTAAAACAGGAGGGCAGACCACTCTCTTCAAGATTATTGCAACCTCCTTTTTGAGGGTTGTCTTGGATTACTGTAGCAGAAAGGATTTGCAATGTGATTGAGTTTGTAGATTACTACACTTTATTCTTCTCCACTCACTTACACAGTAATTTTAGAAAATGTGGTTCCTGAAGAAATATAAAGGATTTAAATATACTTAATCTAGAAAAAGAGCATTCTGACTACAGATAGTGATACATTTTTCTCCATAACCTTGAAGAGGAGGAAAAAAATACTTGAAATAACTAGCAGGAAGAGAAATTAGATTAGATGTTAGAGGGAATGTTCCAACTCAAAGGGTTGGTAAGCACACCTTTTGTATAATCTCCCCTTTGCAAATTGCAGAGTTTCCCTAAGTCCTGGACAACATCAATGCATGTGTGGCAGCTTACACTGATAGAAATGAAATAAAGGAAATAGCTGAAACAGAATTTCAGTTTTAAGTATTTAGAGTATGCTATTGCATGCTATGTATCTGAGATAAACACAGGGCTAAGTGTGTCCTTTCAATATATGTTATGAACAGTTACAGTATATTCATGCAGCTTTAATCAAGGGCTTATTTTCTGCCTAACCTTGCATGAGAAGATTCTGTAGTTTGAAAAACAAGAGCAGAACCTGGATCAGTCTGATGTATTTTTAGTAATTTACTTGAAATACATAACCGCCTTGTCAGTGAAGAGTGCTAGAAACGTTAAGGGCATGATTTGGCTCCTAGGCAGTGTGATTTGTACTCTGGAGAGAATGAACCCTTATTGTGGGGTATGGAGGCAAACTAGAATAGTTTGGTTCTTGACTGAGGCATTTCATTGCAATCCCCATTAAAAAGTCTCTGTTAGATGAAATAAATAGCCACACTGTCCATAATCTACAGGAATACTAAATTGTTTAAAATGTTTAAATTAAACGTTACAGGAAAGCCAACTGTAAAAAAGAAAAAAATATACAGAAGAGTCTCTTTTATTAAGCATTACAGAATTAGGGAATGGTTGCTTATTTTATCTGTCAGAGAGGGAGTTAATTTATAAAGATCCCTTCATAATTCCTCAGATTAAAGTTCAGAAATAGAACGATCTATCTGAAACTGCTTCATCTTCTCCTGCAAATTCTCCTCTGCAGGTCCTTACAGGCTGAGGTCTTCTTAATCTAAATTACTGAAAATTGTCACCTTACAAGTATTACAAAAGTTAGCTGTGCATGCAGAGATAGCTTACCTTTTATCTCCATGAATTGCAGGTACATGCAGGCTATGTATCAGGCTTCTAAAAAAGGATTGTCTTTATTTTTTTAATAGGTTGCCCTCTCCAAAACCACCACCCATGAATGTCTTGCCTGAAGTAGTCACTGAAGCTTTTGGAGTAGCGCTGGTTGGTTACGTAGCATCACTAGCTCTTGCCCAAGACTCTGCTAAAAAATTTAAATACACTGTGGATGACAACCAGGTAAACCTCTCTCTCCTTATGGTCCTTGAAATTGCTTCACAATTTTGGAAATGCAAAGCAATTTTCAAAATTCCTGGATTTCCAAAATAGATAGATGCCCAGTAGGAAAGGCATCAGGAAAGGCATATGGCATCCTGAGGCCTTCCACCGATTACAGTAAATCCCAAATGTCCAAATTAGCTCTACAGAATGCTCAGGTCTCTAAAGTATTTTTCAAAATGAATACATTGGGTCATGAATTTATATTGATGCTTCAGAGCCATGTTCTCCAAAGAGCAGAGGGAAAATGTTTTGATCTTAACACAGGTCACACTTCAGGGAGATATGCTGCATTGTCTGAAGGGCATTAAATGGAGTACAGCAACATGCCTGTCTTTCTGGACCTCTGGAAATCTTGTAGCTTACACAGCTTAACTACTGAGATGTTGGAAACTAGATGTAAGTCTACATGGAATAATGGAGCCAAACAGCAAAACCTCCATGACATCAGAGACTACAGTGGCAGGTTCTGGCTGTATTGCCTTCAGGAGCCAGACACAGGGCTCTGCATGTTGGCGTGTGGCTATGTAAAGCTGTCTGGGGAACTTTTAAGTTCTTATGCTGTGAAGACAAAGTTATGCACAGGTGTTGTCCTGGTTGGATACAATACCATTTGTGTCCTAAACACTTCTAGCAGTATTGAGGTGTTTTCTTACACATTAATCTCAGCAGACAAACTCCTTATAGTCTGGGGAGATGAATGGTGCTGGGAAGCCAAGTTGGGTGCTTTCTTAGAAAACTTTCTTCAGATGGCTCTGCAGATACAAGGTGGCTTCTCCACTTTTTTGTTATAACACCAGATGCACTTACAATGAAAGACAGATAGCATGCAGATAGGATTGCTACCATATTTTGCTTTCACTAAAGTATGTTCCAAGAGAAAAAAAATCGGTGGCTGTCTTTTTCCAGTAGAGTCATACTCTAGAAACAACCTGAACACCATCCAGATCCCACTACTTGAGGCCTGTTAAAAAGCAGATGTGCATCAAGATGTAAATATTTTTGTTGACCTTAATATTCAAAATTTAGCAATACCTTTTATGTTGTGAACAAAATGTGCCTCCTGCTTTTGATGAATCTTTTTCAGCAGTTTTATCATTCAAATTAGTGTTGTGAGAATATATGTTCTATTGGGAGATCTTTTATCGTGTAGGTATGTGATTTTTTTTTTCCCTCAAACATCCTTTGTCATTGCTAATATTTACATAGGGGACTCTTCTGTTGGCAAGAAACATTGAAATGACAGAAAAGTAAGAAAAAAACATATTCTGTTTAACAACTTTGCAGGAATTTTTGGCTCATGGCCTCAGCAATGTGATTCCTTCATTTTTCTTTTGCATACCAAGTGCTGCAGCGATGGGACGGACTGCACTTTTGTACAGTACGGGCGCCAAAACACAGGTAATGGGTTAGAGTGGAGTATGTAGGAGAATTAAGGCTATGGTACTGCTCAATGGAACTTGTACTGGATTTATCCATTTTCCTATTCTCTCCTTTCCTCTGCCCTGGGAAATAATTTGTTATTTTTAACAACCTGCATGGAATTCAACTGTCTTACTAAAAAAGCTAATGGTTCTATTTATTAATTTCTACTTGTTTAATTCAATCTAAACTCTGAAGCCTGTAAGGAGGTTGGGAGTTGTATTTTCAGGCTGCAGGAAATGGCATACAATTTTATGTGAGATTTGTCATCACCCTAACAAAAGTGCCCTCTAATGGTGTTTAATGGATTTAATGATACAGGCTAAACTGAAGTTTTAGAAAAAGGTCAGATTTAATTTGGTGCTTCTACCTGATTTTAAAATTAAAGTGAAAGTAACCAATTAATCTACTAACTTTTGCTTTGTGACACAGTGTACTTGTCCTGTCCCTCAATATACACTGAGCCCACAGAGAAGACACTTAGATTTTTGAGGGTTTTGGTCTACTTGCAAATGTTGACAACTAAACCCACAAGTTCAGTAGCTCAGAAAAGAGGGAACTGCAAGTGAGGAAAATGATAGTTATGACCCTGTGAGGCTGTTACCTGTTCAAATCATGCTCATGGACAAGAGAGGTTGCAAACTGCCCAGTAGTGACCTACCCGTGTGATGGGCCACCTCAACTGGGGAAGCCCCCTAAGCACTGCTTCTCCCCCTTTCCTCTGAAACTCCAGGGATTCATCAGGGGCGTTCTGCCATCTAAATGTTTTGTCCTTTGATGTTTGTTGCCATTGTCTTCTTATAACTGTTGCTCTTGCCTGTGTAAAGGACATTAATTGCAAGGAAAAGGGTAATAAGGTACAACTGATAAGGCTATGTGCAGTCCGTAGGTATCGTTTCTTCTTGACCATATCCTGCAGTTATTTCTCATGCAGATACCACAATACTGAGAAATGATACAGGGCTTTATTTCAAAACTTTACATGTTCACTACTTGCTAATTAACCTACACAGTCCTCTGAACTCAGTTAATCATAATTGGTATTTTATCCAATATTAATCTTTAAAAGCATTTATATACAAATAGTTTAGCTAACATTTTGCTACTTGCTATTTCATGTCTTTGAGTTAGATGCAGTGTCGTACCCCATGCCCTCATCCTCACAGACATCCTCTTCTGTCACCTATTCGTGTGTTGTTTGTTCAATTTGCATTTGTGCTGCACCATGACTTTTCCGAGGAAGCTTAAGGTAACCTGAAGACCTCTACCTGAAAACCAATAACCTGGAGGTATATAGGGTGTTTGAGCACTTTGGCTCTGGTATATGTAGGCAAAGGCCCTGACAGAAGTTTGTTCAAATATAAAATCAAAAAAGAAACCACCATAGTCTGAGTTCAAAGTAGGAAGTACATGGTAAAAATATCAAGTATCTGCTTGGTTTTATCCATTGGTTTCACACTATAGCAGAGCCTGCACCCAGAAGTTAGAGTGTGGGCATGCATTAGCACTACTAAGAGGGCACTTTAATAAACATAAAATTATCTCTCCTGCCTTATTTTTTGAAAGAAACACATCCACTTAATCCTCTGTATTTGGGGTGTCTAAGCAGAATGAAGAGATGAGAAAAATATCACTAATAAATGTTGGTCAGATCATAAGCAAAAAGTGAGGAGTAGCTTGGACTACATAGAATGAAGTCAGTTTACTTTGGCATATGACACAAAAGAAATACAAAGTGTCTTTCAGGGTCTCAAAGCAGCCCTTTTATCTCCAATGGCTATGTCTGGGATTCAGTGATGCCATTTATACTTCAGTGATATATTCTCCCCCCACAAAAAAAAAACAAAAAACAAACCAGAAGTCAGGGACTTTATTGTAGGATCATAGAATGGTCAGGGTTAGAAAGGACCTGAAGATGATCTATTTCCAACCCCCCCTGCCATTGGCAAGAATGCCTCACCCTTGACCATGTTGCCCACCCTGGCCTTGAACACTGCTTGGGGTGGAGCATTTACCACTTCTTTGGGCAACCCATTCCAGTGCCTCACCATCCTCACAGTAAAGATCATCACAGGATGGAAGTGTACTTCAAATAGAATTAACACTTTTTTTTTTTTTTTTTCTTCTGGAAGAGTGGAAGGAGGGAAAACTTCCTTGTGACTTCACCAACAGATTTTGTGTCCCTTTTTCTGTAAATATTCTGTCTATCCTTCTTGATGGTATTTTCAAGTATATCATGGCTTTAATCTTCTAGTGTTTTAGCAACTTGTCTGGTTTTGTTTTTAACAACTTGTCTTTTAAAATGAAACCTAATTATTTTAGTAAAGAAACATATTATCAATATAAAAATACAGTGAGCATCTGTCTACTTATCATCAAAAAACTTATGTGAATCTGGACTCTATCTTAATGAGACCAGAAGTACTTCACTTTGTGAGCAATCAAAGTGGGGTAGCAGACTGCAATTTTACTGTAGATTTCCATCAGGTTAATAACATATAATGCTATGAAGAGAAATATAATTCTTAGATCATATACTTTTCTGGATTCATGCCGCCTGCATTAATTCTAATTTTTATATATTAAAAAAAAATGTTCCTACATTTTCTAAAGTCCACTGATAACAATGTGAAATCATAGGTGGTTTCTGACTAAACACAATAGTTTCCTTTTACCGTTGATCCCAGTAAAAGAAGTTAAAAAACTTCTCTTGTGCAAAAATTATGATAGTTCTCCGTATATAACTTTTGTTCAGTGTTATGGAAGGTCTGTTATTTAGTGCAAGATAGGGTGCATGGCTATAAATATGTTGTAGAATGACAGTGGGTGCTGCAAAATTTCTGAGATGAGATATTGCACACACATGCTCCATTTAATTACAAAGTGTATAAGGGATGCTGAGGTCTGTGTCTGTGAGCTGTCAACAGGGTCAAGCACAGATGTTGAGATCCCTTACTATATTTTCACTGTAGCTGGCTGAAGGTAGTCACCAGAAATTAAAACAATTAAACGCATTGGCAATCCACAGATACATTAACAGCTAACATGCTCAACATCTTGTCCTTGACTTTGCAATATTTGATGTTTATCCTTTTTCACACATTTTAATAAAAATTTCATTTGTTAGAGTGAATGATCTGCTTTTCTTGTTTATTGTTTTAGGTTGCTTGCCTTATCTCTTGTGCATTAATTCTTGTGGTGATATATGCAATTGGACCTATGCTGTACTGGCTGCCTATGGTATGGTAGTTACCTTCTTTTTTCAAAATTATGACATCATGCATTTTCTAGTGACTTGATTTCTTTCAGGGAAAGATAGCACTACCTCTAAAAGAACACTGTTTAATTTCAATGGAAGAACAAATATTAAGGGCACAGCGAAGTCTCAGAATCATAAAATGCAGAGCTGACAACATAATACATAGATTTTACACATATAGAACTGCATATATAAGCTATCACATAAGCATTTCTCTTCCACTTGCTTTTGGCAAGTAGTTTATGAAAAATATACATCCAGATTGCTGTGTATTTGTAAATTGACAAAGTGTGGTAGAAATGAATCAATTTTTATCCAGTTATGCATATGATATATGACTTTGCTTCTCAAATAAATTTGACACAAATGATTGTAGCTAGTGATCTAAGGTTAATTAAGAGAGATTGTGAGGTGTTCTTACATCTCTGTCATGGAATACATCTTCTACGCTAAGAATCTATAGAGCAAGGTGGTGTGTTTTCACATAAGCTGTATCTTCATATACGTTATGTGAACTATATCTTCTGGTATTACAAGTTAATAGCTAATTTTAACCAGAAGCATGTTAAAGATGCAAAATACAGCTCAAAAATTATCCTGAATTCTGCCATGTGTGTACATGATATTTTAACTCAATTTTGTTTAAAATTTACTTTTTGCTATTGTTTACATAGTGTCAAATGAAGATTCTCACTTTTCAAACACAGATCCTTTTATAGTTTAACTATGCAAAATAAGGACACTTGAAGAGGGATGCACAATATGTCTTTTTTCTTACTATGCTGCTCTCCTGCCTTCTTTTTTTTTTTTTTAGGGATTATATGTAAATTTTGACTGGTTTCCTGTAGACTTCCCCCTCCTCTCCCTATTAAAAAAAAAACTTTTTATATGTTGCTTTCTAGATATTTTATTTCTTTTCTACTGTGTTTTCTTAGCCTCCCCACCTATATGCTGCAAGTCCACCGCTTTGTACTCCATCCTTTTTGGCTTCAGATAATTTCCTCATCCATCTCCTCCCCATTTCTGATTTGGAGAACAAGAAATGATTTTGTTTGATCCAAGTTTATGGATTTTTGCTCTGAAGACCTTCTCTAGGTGGTGAAGAAGGGGAATTAAAATTCTTCACTCTGTAGAAGTTGAGTGCTGATTTGCTCCTGAGTCACCCAGACTATGGCAGAATGTTGCTGGTCTGGCAATGCATGGAGAATTTTGGGAAGTCATGAAGTTTCTGTTGTTTTTCTCACAATTAGGTGGCCTATTGATTGCCTTCAGGAAATAAAACAAATGGATTTGAACTGTTACAGCTGTATTCATGCAATTTTTGAAACATTAACTTCAGATTTTTTATGATTTAGTTATAATATTGACTGTTGAACTGAAGAAAGAGCATTTGTTTTCACTACCAATTCTGCAAAAAGCTTTTGTTCTTTATTTATTTGCAGTGTGTGCTAGCAAGCATTATTGTTGTGGGCTTGAAGGGGATGCTAATACAGTTCCGGGATTTAAAAAAATATTGGAATGTGAATAAAGTAGACTGGGTAAGTGAAACTTAACTAAGGAGATCTCCCTGTGACCCTTTAACAAATACCTAAGAAATAAACTTTAATAATTCTGTGTCCCTAGAAGAGATAACCAAGCCATTATTTTAGGGGATTTGTGTCCTATTGGCTTATTTCCTGTCTCAGAATAACAGCATCTGTAATACCAATTGTATTTAAAAAGGGGAATTAGAGCAAATGATAAAGAATTAAGCCTAATTCAATGCTAAAGATGTGTATAAAATCAGATCAGGTTGATCTGAGCAGGTGTGTGCCTTCTCTAGCTGGTTAGCATGCTTTTGCTGTTGTAGTATTATTGAAGAGATTCTGGTATCTTTGTTCTCTGAGGGTATGGAATAATCATACGGGGCAAACAGAACTGGAAACACTAGAGATGCAGACAGATACATGTCCTAGGGTGATGTAGGTAAATCGTCTTAACTCCTTCAGATTTTGCAAACAGAGTATGCTGTTTTACCATAATGAAAGATTCTGCAGTATGAAAGGAGGAAAAAGCAGATAGATGGAAAGGGAAATAATATGAAAATCTAGTTTAATGCAGAGTCTTAATAGTCCAACATACATTTGAACAGAATTCCTAGCAAATATTAAAGATGTCTCCATGTTTAGGAAGACTCCTAGTTTTTTTTCTGAGGGAGTTTTTGAATATACTCGCCAATTAGTGGAACCGAAACCTATGGCCATTTCCATAAACACATACTGATATTCCATAAAGCTTTTGAAACTTATGTTTATGTTGTTTAAGTTAACAAATATTTAGGAAAGTATTTCAGCTGTATCCTCCTTCTCTGTGGTGGGAGATACAGGTTACTGGAGGTAATATTGGGCTTTGAACACACCAGTGACTTAGTATTCTACAGCAGTAAGGGGAAGTCTAAACTGAGTAAAACACTTGTTTTTAAATAGAATACTGTATTTCAGTATGGAAAGCAGAGCTGAGTAACCTATACTGATTTGGTTATGTGAGATTTCCTATTTTGTCACAGAAGACTAGAGGTTAGGGGTTTTTGTTGTTGGTTTTTGTTTGTTTTTCACCATTCAGAAGAAAGCCTCTATCTCTCACAAAGGCTTATGTTGTTCAAGCAGCAAAATTCTGAAAATATTTTCTACTCCATATTTCCAGTGACACAGATGGTGGATGATGTAGATCAAGGATTATTCTGAGTACAATGGGTTTAAGAAAGTTGGTAGTTATGAGAGAGAGAGAGCTAGCCTATCAGTGCACTGAAATAGTAAGCAGTTAAGTTTTCCAGCAGGGCATCCTGGAATCTCACTAGACTTGATGTATCTTCACAGTTAGACTAGCCTGACTGATTTTTTGCTTTGTGATTTTGATTTTGTGGTTTTGGCAGAAAAAGATGGGGGAGTAGTTCATATATCTCAAACATCTGTCATTATTACTAAGAGAGGTTACAGAGGGGGGGAGATTGCCTGGTTTAACTTTTTGACTGAACATACTTGAAAAATGATTTATCTTCAAGTAGTTGTACCATCAATCCTTAGCCTGACAGGGTAAATCATCTTGCTTTAAATAGCATAATTTAAAGTAAGGCTATAAACATTACACTGCTGCTTGGTCGGAGGAGCCCCACCAAGCAAAGCGATTTGAGTAGCTACACCAGGGTTGGTTTTGGCCTGAAAAGATTCACTCCAGCAATTGAAAGCACATCGGAAATGAATCTGTTACATTACCCAGGTTATCCAAACTATTTTGAAGATAGAAACTCTAACAAAACATGTGGAAATAATTAGCATCTGTCCTTTCTGGAACTGATTCTTTGAAGGGTGTGTGTCATTGTAGCACAGAAGTCAGACTTGTTGTGCTTATAAGTCTGTCAAATAATAGTGTGTGGAAAGGGAATATTATGAGGTTTCTTACCTTATTCCTTGACATTTTAAGCTTCACACTGAACACAAACAGGATAAGTAATATTTACTTTTTGTTTAGTTGTTTATAAAACATCATCCTTTTCAATGTAAAAGGTACAGCTTGAAAGGTGTAGCTCAGGAGTTGGACTTGATGATCCTCATGGGTCCCTTCTGTCTCAAGATATTCTGTGAGTCTATGAAATTGTCCTTCAGCCATGGGTTGTTTTTTTCTTGAGTATTTAATATTTGGGAACAGCTGAGTTCAAAGAAGCTAAGCTGACAGACCTCACTAGATAATACCAAATGTTATCAGCTGAATATTACTACATATATTTGGTTTGGTTTTCTTTTAACTTATTTTTTATCAACCCTCAAGAAACGTCCTGGTTTTATATCCCACCTCTCAAATCACATTAAATTTCTTTCTAGGTAAAACACCACTGCCCTTTCTCCAAAGTGCCTTTTCCTGCCATTCACAGCATTCATATGAACTTCAAAGGTCTCTTGCCTCAGTTAAGGTCTTCTGTCAGTCCCTACATCTTCTTGGATGACTTCAACAATTTCAGATCAATAATTGTTCTATTACACATTATGCTAAACCCATAACTCTATACATAACAGTATTTGCCCTCCTTCCATTGTCTTCATCTGTTGGTGGTTTCCAACATGTTGATTTGTGTGTTACCTGCATTTTATACATTAACCTGAGAATGTTTTGTCATTTTTTGCTTCTTTTTTTTGAGCAATCAGGAAGTTGATCTGGAATTCATCTTAAGTGTACCTCACTTTTCAGGTCATCAAATGGAAAGCTGATTTCCATATTCTTCCTGCAAGCTTCATTTCTTATGCAGGCATACTTGTTGACCAACTTCCCTTTATTCTCCAGTTTGAAGGTACCCTTTTCTGGTCTCAATAAAAAGGCAGTGAAGTTCTCATTAACTTAGTTTTTAAGGCTGAACATCCCAGATAAGCTGTAGCAATTTAAGACTGGCAAAGACTACTGCTGAAGAAAATGTCCTTTTAGCTGTTAAGTTGGACTTAAAAGTGACCAAAGATGGAGAAAAAGTATTTCAGAAGGTGATGCTTTAAGTGAAAAAAACAACAGAATAAGGATTATTTTAAGGAGTTAATCTTACACATGGATTTTTGTACACATGGATTTAGCAGAGAAAATCTTAGACATTTAAAGAGAAGAAAATATTACAAAGTTGTGCAAATGACTTGGCCAGGAAATGACCACAGCAGAGAAAAAAGCGAAGTTGCATGCCTGACTTGTAAAGCAGAAAGAGTGGCAACAATTTGTGGTAAAAATTACACATTCCCTGCATGGTGTCATGACTGAGAGGCAGTTATTTATGTATGAATTGTATGTGTATGCACATATATTAATGTGTAAGGACATAAAAAATTATACTAATTCAGCAATTAAAGAGGATCCAACAAGGAGCATCTCATTTTGAACAAGTATCCTCCAAGATCTTGCCAGTGTAAGTTTCTGAGCCTTGGATCCACCACCCTGTCAATTAAGTTTGTCACAGTAGTTTGGAGGAGGGGGAACAGGGAGGGTCTTCCATGGTATTTTGAAGATCACTGGTCCAATTTCATGTATGTTTGAGAGCTTTTTAACTTGATATCCTCAGGGAGGACATGACCTTTTAGATTTGCTCAGGTATTCGTCAGATAGGAGCCCTGATTCATGACAGGGCTCTCAGATCTCTGAGGGCTTTGCTATATTTTCCACAGAGTAGGAAGCCATCTCTTCTATATAATAATTTACATGAATGCTTCTAGCTAATGACATTCTAGGGAGATTTTCTATCTTTACTTTGTTAGGAATATGCTGCCCTGAGTTACATTACTTTTGATGTAGTTAGTCTCAGTGCAGTGAGAAGGAATTTAAAAATGTTTAATCCATTGAAAGTATGACTGCTATATAAATTCTTTTTAAAGAATAATATTTATGCCAGTCCATCTGTCTCCAGGGCAGTTTGCAAACAAATACCCTCTCAAGCATTCCACCATTCCACCATTGTGTATAGAATGCTTGTGAAAAATTCTATTAAAGAACTACCATGCCACTTCACTATTAAGGAGTTTCTACTCTATGGCTGGAGTGACTTTCACTGCATTCTAAATTCCCTTCTGATAACCAGATCTTCTTTGTGTATGGTGGGTGTCTAGACAGCTCACACAGCTGTAGATATCTGTGCTGTAGATAGTTAATGCCAAGTGAAATGAGCCCTACCCCTTTATGCAATAGCTGAGCATCTCATCAGTTTGCAATGAAAAAGGAAGTTTATAATCCAGTTTCAAAGTGGTACAGAAACATTTATTATCATGGTACTGTAGTATTGCATTGTTTAACCATAGGCACAGAGAGTATTCTCCCACTTCTCCTTTTTTCCTGTTTCAGACACTCTGTAATAGTGGATGTATAGACCCTATGAAATAAAAAGTTCTAGATAGAAACACACTGTCCACAGAATTCTATAGGCAGCTGCTATATATACACAGTCACTGTACCTCTCAGTGCTTCCAAAACTTTCTGACATATGCAGGATTCAGCATAAATATTCTGCTTGTTTCTTTTCTCTCTCTTTAGAAGTTTTTTTAAAATTAATACAGTACAAGTATACTTTGGAGGTAGATTTTGTTTTGCCTTTAGAGAATAACATTTGCTTTTAACACATTATTGCTAAGATTTGAAGAATTATTAGATTCAGTCTGTCCTGGACTATATAATAGTCATGTTAAAGTAAGTTGCCAAAGAAAATGTTGATATTTTTATGACTTCTTTGCTGAACCTTGTGAAAACCCATGAATTAAAAAAATGTCTATGAGATCAACATAACTTCTTTCTACAAGTTTGATGCTTCCCTGACTAAAAAAGTACTGACTTCAGTCCAATTCAAAGCACGAGAAGAATGATTGACAAATGAGAACATAATTGCTTTGGCCCATCCTCTACAATAATGGCAGTCTTTGGTTACAGTTAAGATGTAAGATACTAGGCTGCTAAAAAGGTACTCAACTAGCTTTTTCAGTACTCAACAGTACTTAAACATTTTTGTCTTTGATTCTTCCTATTCAGACTTTATATTGTTTTTTTTCATGCTTTCTGTTTTCTTCTGAGACAGAATAATTTTTTAGGTCTTGCAGCAGTGATTTAGTTAGATGTGATGAGGTTCAGGTCTGCAGTTGAAGTGGATTGCTTGATCTCAGGTGTTAAGAATTCAGCCTTATCATCATGGGCTAATTCTTGATCCCACTGGAATTTCAGGTTTGTAGTACGTGTGTTAGCCTTTTCATGTCCAGCAAGCTCCTTCATAAATATATATTGTATTTGTAAAGCTTAGAATTAGTTGTTTACTTATTAATCAGAACTCAATGTTTGTGACTCATAAAGGTACTCTTTGCAAATATATACATCAAAATTTGTATAATCATTTTAAAATATAACTCGAGATAGAGCACTACTTCAAAGACTGAACTACCTCTTTACCTAGAAGCCTTGCCCTTGAAGAGACTGCAAAACCTTTTGCAGTAGTTTAGAATTTTGAAGATGAGGGAGGAAATGTTTCTCAGTAAAGTCTAACTCTCTGTCCCCTGTGAAGCACAAATTAGGACAGTATGCCTTCCATTTTATAATTCGTAAAATAACAGTTCTGAAATCTGCTTGAGAAAAATTCCTGTGGTTAGACTGAAAGTATTCTATTATCTCTGGCTTTTCTGAGTTAAGTGAAAGTATCAGAAAGGATAATTTTAACACTGATTGTGCCGTTGTAATGTGATCTGTTCCTCTGCAAACATTAACAAGAAGCACTGTAATTGTTGAAATGGGCACCTGCCGAGATCAGTATATCCAGAGGAGTGAAAACGCTTTCCATTCTTCTTTAGCACTTTTTATATAAAGATTAGGTGGCAGTCTTTGCTTAAGGCTCCCTCAAGAAAGAAATATGGACTAATATTAGGTTGGTATAAGAAATCAGGGAATTTATACTTTTCTCCTTTTAATTGTAAAATCTGGATATCTCTCAGCCATACACATTTCTGTTTAGAAAATTATTAAGAAAAAGAATTTCAATGTTGAAATATTTGGATTTTTTTCATTTTAAATTATTTTTCAGTTACTATTGTTTCAGATATGCTTCTTTGTATTTTTAATTATATTTAAAATGAATCCAAAGTTTTATGAAACAAATACCAAAAAATGGGGAAGGAATCTGAAATCTCACCATTTCTATGTGAAGAAATTAATTCCTCAATAATTTTTATTTCTTATAGAGTTGGTTTAGTCAGCTGTACTCTGATAAATGCCACTTTAAATTAACTTGCAAATTATAATTCTCATTTATGCAATTAGTGAGAGAGGAGCTCTCTATATTTGCCCTTAAGGGTATGTCATTGTGTAAAAGGAAAGGAAGATTTTCAATGTGTGCTGTGAGAAAGGTGACAAAAACTTTCAATGTGAAAAATAAAATAAAGGTTTCACAAAACAACTGAGTTAATCCTAAATTATGCTGTTAGCACAACTACAGATGATATTTTAAGTAATTCTCAAAGGAACTTGTGTGAACGTCGGGATGAGTAGTGCAATATCATATGTGCTCTCCCACAGGGAAGCATTGTTTCAATTGCTAATTCAGTCTTTAATATTTGTCAGTTCAAAGATCCAACTGTTTGTCTCTGAGAAACTCTTCAATTTAAAATCTTTATTTCTGATTCATAAATTGCACATTGTTACAAGAATTAAAACTAACCACTTCTTTCTGTTTCCCTCCATAAAGAGCATATGGGTTAGTACCTACATATTTACAATATGCTTTGCTGCTAACGTGGGACTGTTGTATGGTGTTCTCTGCACTATAGTAATTGTGATTTTCCGCTTTCCCAGGTGAGAAACTATCTATTGAAACATTCTAGTAGCACATCATTATGTCTTTTTTTCTGGCATATTGCTTCACAGTCAGGATAGGCATATGGTATTCTAAATTTAACAATGAAATTCAGGTTTTTATTTGCAGAAAATTACAAGGTAAGAGAATTCAAAAGGAAAAGTCATGCCTGTGCACTTACGGTAGGCTAAGGATCTCTAAAATGTTTCATACTATGGCGTTATTTTGTGATTTGTCTTAGTATTACACATCTGTATGATGGTGAAGGTAGCATAAAATCAACAGAGGGATCAATAATATAATTTTTTTCCCATTAGATATTTATATGCTCCTTAAGGTGAAAGTATGTCTGGCAAACCTTAGTAACAAAGTGCCTTCATAAAATCCCAGATACTATGCTGCACTGGAGTTGGTAGTTGACATTTGCATTGTTAATATACAGAATCATAGAATTATTTAGGTTGGAAAAGTCATTTAAGATCATCAAATTCAACTTAATGAAACATAACTGCATCAGTATTCTAATGTCTAATGAAAAGTATAAATTCTATGTATGAATTAGAAAAGCCAGGACAAAGAAACTAGAGCTAACAGAATCATAGAATAGTCAGGGTTTTAAAGGACCTTAAAGCTCATTTAGTTCCAAACCCCCTGTTATGGGCAGGGACACCTTCACTAGACCAGGTTGCTCAAGGCCCTGTTCAACACGTACTTGAACACTCTGGGGATGGAGCATCTGCTACTTCTTTGGGCAACCTGTTCCACTATGTCACTACACTCACAGTAAAGAATTTCTTCCTTATATCTAACCTAAATAGCCCCTTTTTAAGTTTGAACCCATTACCCCTTGTCCTATCACTCCTGTTATTGACGAAGAATCCCTCTACAGCATCCTTGTAGGTCCCCTTCAGAAATTCATTCATTATTTTGTATGTATTACAGTTGCTACTTTGGATCATGAGTAAAGGAAAATATCAGCTGAAGTTCATGATAATTTTGTGTTACAGAATTAATCTATAGCTCACCACTCCTGGAAATGACTTGTTGCTTGCAGGCAGTCGTTTACAGGAACATTGAATTGCACTGAAATCAAGCACAATACAGACAACTCATTTTAATGCTTATCAAAGTTATGCATAGCTCTGTTCTCATGGAATAAATTGCAGATCCAGTGTGAAAATGGCCAAAAATTGCAAGACAACTGGAAATTATGGAAGATGGTTCTGCCTGAATCAATCTATACCTTTGTGATAACATTCTGCTACTTGGCAAACTAAAATTTTGGTAAATTCTGCTAGTAAAGGACGGCAGAAAGAAAGGGATATCTGGCACAGAAAAGCATTATCTTTTGTTGTCTGATCAGACCTGAGTCTGAACCTGCTCTAATTAAAGTAAAAAAGTCTTTTCCTGGTGACTTCTGTGATCTTTAGGCAGGCTGCACATGATTGTCCGTGCAACCTAAAGGCATTGAACAAGCTGACAGTCTTAAAATCTGTACTGAAGATGAGATTAACAAGAGGACATGTAGTAAACTGTCCAGTCGTAGGCAAAGCATCAGCAAAAATGAAGCAAGAAAAACACTGTAGATGATTTGTTTTGAACTTTCTGTTTGGATGCCAGAGTATTGAACAAGTTACACATCATGTATCAGAATGTATTAAAACCTGCATCAGCTACAGTTCAATTTACGAAAACATGAGAGAACAGCTGACTTTTACAAGCCTCATTTAGCCAGTACCTGCAAACACTCCTTGCATATTGGCACATCAATTAAATGTTTGTGTTCTGGGATTATTTCCATTTCCTAGCTTTAGGCACCAAGCTCAGATGATAGTTTCATAGTCATCTTCTCCTGCAGTTACATGTATTCCTGCAAATGAGGTATTGAAGCAGAAGGTCCTACACTGAGCTACCTTCTCAAGGCAACTTCATCTTTTCACTGACTGTATAGAGAACATAGGGATATTGACTCTTCCAGTTAAGTCCCCCACTTTGATGGCTAGAGTGCAGTGCTCTGCTTCAGCATACAAAGATGTGTCTATTTTAATGGCAAATGAAACATCCTTAAATTTCACGACCCATAGCTATTTGATTTTTTTTTTTCATTTCCTTAAATTATGATTTTCCAGGTTAAAAAAAAAAAAAAAATAAAATTAAACCTCTCTCCTTTGGAAGATGTAGATTATATATTACCTACCTTGACCTGAGACTAGGTTTCTGGCCAGCTACAAAACAATAATGAAACTTAAAACCAAGAGTTTATTTACCAGAAATTTCCATTACTCAGATTTTCAAAGTGATATCTTATAATTTAAATTATGCTTTTTACTCTTTACCTGATCATTATCACAAAAAATAAGCTCTATATGCATGAAAATGCATATAGAATGCATTGTCTCAACTTTAAACTTCTACACTGTAGTTTCTGTTCAAGACAACTAACAATTTGCCTTACAGATTTTTCTGTGTGTATTGATTACAGAGCAAAGACACTGAATTTGAAAAACATGAAAGAAGTGGAATACAAATACAAACCAGAAGATAATTGTGTAAGTTAACTTCATGTGTGTGTTGCACTAATCCTCATTTTCTCTAGTTGGTTACCAGATTGTAAGCAGTGAGTTAAGGAAACATTCTTATATGATCAGTTGAAATCTAAAGCCAGTACGATGCAGTAAGCACAAAACTAGTCTGGCCATCAGAAATTGTAATATTTTCCTGGTTCTGCTGCTAGCCTGCAAAGTAAAGTTGAGCAAGGCCTCTTAGATCTGTCTATCTTGTTTATTTGTTATTCTTAAATTAGGAATTACTCTTTGTAAAAGTTTCCTAATTCCTAAGTCTAAGGAAATCTCTTGGCAGCAAGAGCATCTGAGCAGACAACAGCTCTCTTTATATTCCTATAAGATTTTCTAATTTCCTGAAAGTCCTTTGGTATTCTCATCATCCAAAATCTCTTTCGTGACCCATTTTCTGCCACCAGCCCCTTGGGATCAACTGTCCCAGAGGACACCACATATGTCTGGGAAAGGAGGGACAACAGCATGAAGTTGTTACAGACTGCTTCACACATCTCACCACTCTGTACTCAAGCAAGGGTACCCTCACATTTAAAATGAAGAATATTTCCCAAAGACTGTGTTTGATTTTTTGCAAACTTAAATCTACCAGTCAGAAATCTTACATTTTTTGGTTAGTTTCATTACAATTACCATCAAAGTTGCTTGTGGTCAGGCCTATGGTAAGAGGAAAAGGGCAATGACCTGGAGAGGTGAAATCCCTCCTCCAAGATGAAATGTTAGGCCAGCAGCCAAGGAGAAGCAGAACCATGTGTCCTTTCAGCACAGAGTCCCATCAATAGGACATCATGCCTTCTCCGCGGTGACAGTTTCTACTATGTACTTTTTCCTAACGCTCATCAGTTATTACCTCATCATTAAGAAGCTCTCCTCTAAAGAGGTTTTTTTTTTGTGGCAAATGTTTTCCGTCAGAGATATCTTGGTCTCAAAATCTGAACTTGGCTTGGGGGTGTTTACTATTTTGACATACTGAACAATGCTGGAATGTGAAAGTTACGTGTAAATGGGGAGGAATCTGAAATGTGAATTAAAACCCCTGTTGTTGAAGCTGTCCAACCTGTCAATTATTATATCCTTTTTCATTCTTAAGAAACATGGTGCAGTAACTTTGTCAGAGATGGGCAACCAAAATTTTATTTGCCTGCTTGTATACATATCAGTTCACAAAATACTTTGTACAAATCCCTATGTGACTTTTTTTTGTTTTCTTATGCTAACTGCTCTCCTGCTTTTTTTCCTTAATCATGAAGATTAATGCCAGTAACCAAGTAATAACAAGCTAGTGTCTGCAGACAGTGGGGAAAATAATATTTTATTAAGAAAGCAAATTGCTTAAGAGCTTATTACACAAAAGCAAAGAAGGGGAACATTTTTAAGATTTAGAAAAATGCCTTTAATTGAACTTAGAGTCGCTGGGTTACAGCAGGCATTTAGGGTAACTTTTCATGTATGGATGAGGTCCCTTCCAATCTCCAGCATACTGTGATACTGTGATACTGTGATGTGAGACTGATCCAAGTTCCCTGGTAAATAACAGCTTACACATGAACAACAGGACTTTTAAACATGAAAATATGCAAGCTTAATGGTCTACCCTGTCATTAAGGTCTATAGATTTATAGAGGTTATTTCATCAATAAGAGAAAAGACAGTTTAATGTGGAAAAAGTCAAGAAGGCATTTAGAAACTTATGTGAAACACATTGCATCACAGGCACCCACTGAACTGAATTCTTACTCAAGCATAGACAGTGGTGTGCAGAGTGTGCAGGGCAATTGCCAGTATCCTTCTAAGTGACAGCAGGGATAGGACTCCCATGATAATTTCCTTTCTTAACAAGGACACAACAAAGAAGAAGTCCATTTTTCTCAGAACAGTTCTTGTTAAAAAAGGAACTAGAACCAAACCAAAGCTGGGAATAAGTGAGTCAAATTTGTCACACATGTCCTCGCCTCTCCTGGACAAAAGGTTATACCTAAGTCTGCCATTTGCTTGATTTGGCATTACAATTTGAGCCTTTCAAGTTTTTCACCTTGTGTCTTTGGAAGCTTATGAGCTTCTTGATCATCACAGGCTTTGATCCTTGCACATTACTCTTGCTTTTTCTTAGTTTTCACCTTCTACTTTGCCAGTTCTGGTATGACACCAAAGTGCCCACTTGTCTCCACACTCCAGCTGTGTATAGCAATTTTAGGGGAATCTGCAGAATATTGGGGTATTTCTCCAATCAACCACATATTGCCCTATGTTTTGCCCCTATTTTAGAGCTTACTTGCATATAATCTTAGCTATTTAAATTGCCAGTTAGGCTTTACCACTTGAATGACAGAGGTACATTGGTGATGGGATATTTACCACGATCCAATTAATAGGTAAATTGTGCAAAGTCCCTATACATAGTCTGGGGTTCGTTGCCTCAGTTTTGGATGTTTGAAATGTTTCCTTAGTCTATATGATTGCTGTGGTGGTGTCTGAGAGATCATCTGGTTCCCAGAAGTCTGAACAGCAGTCTACAGTAAGGAGGTAGTTCGTGTGGTTTGTGGTGAGGATTTCAATTCCTGTTGTGCTTGAAGGTCTGTTGGGAAAATTGCATGTCTTCAATTCAATGCCATGCTATTTGTACTGCTTAAAAAATGGTTTGTGTCAGCTCCATTTGCTTGTGTTTGGGTGTGAACTTATTACATATCTTTTGTTAGGAAGAAGAGAGAATTTTTGAATCTATATTCTCTTGCAAATTCTTGGCTTTTACTTCCTTTTACCCATTATCACAAGAAGTTCATTTTTGAGAGCTGATGCTCACATAAATCAGATATTTTATTGCAGTAGAAAATGTTTTTTTTCTTTATCCAGCCCCCTTTTTGCACTTAGTGATAGGATATTTTATTGCATAGAGCATTTTTGTGGACTGAAATCCTTTTGGAGAGCCTTTCAGAATCAAACCTGTCAATCTGCTATCACGGTCTCCTGCTGATCTGCCAAGGTGTTGTCAGCTGCAATGCTTGCCCCTTAAAATCAGCAGAATTATGTCTTCCATCCTGTTTTCATTATTCCAAAACAGGCAAAGCTTTTTATGACACTATTGAAGCTGACACTCAATGGTACCATGCTTTGCATGTTAAAATACCTAGTGGGAATCACTGCTGTGCAATGCTCAGGTGGTGTGTGTTCAGGGATTCTCTTTTCTTCTCACTGGGAAGGAGAATGCTCTGAACTTCCACCTCTAACCTAGAGATCATCCCCTACCATAAAAGACTTGCCCAAAAGACAAATTAATCCTGTTACTTTTTTGGCAGCTGGTGCTTATGAGCAATGTTTTTGTGTCTATTTCAGATTCTCTAGTTGCATGCTTGCCTGTCAGGTAGAAAACCAGAAAATGCTACTGAAAATATTGATAACTTTTACAGGTCACACATGATACTGCTTATTTCTGTTTACAGAGCTAGATGTGTTGAAGATTAACATAACTATTTCTTGGAATATACATAAAAAACTTTATAAGTAGATGTAATATCTTTCACCAGATCAAATAACATAAATAGGAAAAGTAGAAGACCCTAACAACTGACAGACTTTTCCTCAAGTCCGAAACAGGAACAGCAGAAATCCAAGCAGCTGTGCTCCACACTGAATTAGGTCTCTCTTAGACCTAATTTTCCTAAGGAAAAGAGAGACATGGGTCACAACCTGTAGAAAATTGAAAGCTCGCTAGAATTAGTTTAATGCTACCTGCTTACAAAGCCAGCATTTCAGCTGGGCTTGTGATTGCTGATATCCAATATATTTATATATAAATATTAATTTTATTACTTGCTGGTACCTGTGAGTTTCTGACCTTCATCTGACATCCTTCAGAAATCATTGTATGTTTTGAGCTAAACAAGCTTGGTCTGAATTGACTAAGTATTTCCAGAGAGAAATATCCCTGTTGTACTAAAACCATCTTCCGACGACCAAGATGAACATTTACAGCCTTCTCTAAACCACCTGCAGTGTTTCCTTCAAAACCCTGTGTACTTTTTTCAATACATGTGTTCACCTAATAAAAGATATTTGCTGTCTGAAAACCTTGTCTTTCCTAAGTTTGCGGGTCATGCAACATAATGACTATGATTTTCCTTTTATGCTAACTTGAATTAAGGATAATTTCCCTTATGGTTTACTTATATTGCCTTTTTATTTCAGTTGCGTGTGAAGACTGATCAAGACAGTTATCTGTTAAACCATTCTTGCAATCCAGAATTCCTGCCAGGTTGATTTCCAGGAATTTTCAGAATTTTTAAAGAAATTAGTTCAGTTTTTAGTCTTCAAACCCAAGAGACTTTTTTTCAGCTCTATGTTTCTTTCATTCCACAGGAATCATTAAAACAGGTAAACATAGTTTCAGTCAACAACCCATTAGTCTTTTTGAATGCCAGGAAATTTCATGCTGACCTGACAAAGATAATGCAAAAGGATAACAGGAGCAGCGGGGCATGTGAAGATGTAAACAAGGTAGGATATGCTATATGTTTGAGTAATTATGGTGATAGTGTTGAAGACCTTGATTTCTTTCTTTATATTTCATAGAGAATGTAATCAGATATGATTAATTTAGAATAGGATAAAGTTAATACTTGTCTTAATCAGATTAGATAAGGATTGTTTTCTAATTATTAATTGAAAAGAATATCTTTGCTATTTCTATATATGATCTTGTAAGAACCATTAAAGCACTGATCTGAAACTCTTCTGGCAGAACTTACATAACTTCAGTTAACATAAGGTGGTAATTTTGAAAAGACAATGAGTAGCTACATATCTGCTTGAATAAGATGTGATTTTTTTTTTGCTGGAGAGCAACTTGGTCTACTGGAAAGTGTCCATGCCCAAGGCAGGGGGTTGGAACTGGATGATCTCTAAGATCCCTTTCAACCCATACATTCTGTGATTCTAGGATTCAACAATTTATGTCTACCACCTCTCCTGTCTCTTGCCAAAAAGTTGTGCTACCCATACCTCCTTTGATGAGTGGCTTCTCCACTATTTTCAGAAATTCAGCTCAAAGATTATGCTGCTCTTATTCCTTGGTTCTGTCAGGCTAACTGATTAGGATTAGTATGATAACAAACTTCTAAACAGAGAAATTACTTAGGGTTTTCATGGAAATAATTTATGAATTAATTTGATAAGTCTAATAAGTTAATTTAATAAGTTACTATATGAGTTACTTAGGAAGGAGATTTTATCCTTTGTCTCTTCTGTAAGGTTCTTGGCAATACAGATGTCTGAAATACCGTGCATGCATTTTTTCTTGTGAAATAAAGGTCTTTCTGTAGCACACTATGGGAATGAAAAAATTTCACTTTGGATTTTGTTTCCATGCTGTATTTCTGGTTTTAACTCATATCTCTACAGAAAACTTAAAATTCATATTGAAGTAATTATAAGCAGTTTACCCAGATAAAGCAGATAAAGTCAATTCTTTAATAAATTTTCATGTCAAAAAAGTCCTTACTAAAATATTAGTGTAGCAGATGAGATTATAGCAGGTAGAAAATGAATCAAAAGTTAATCTTATAAAATCACTGGCTAGAATTTATCTTTCCAACTTCTTTGCCGTCTTTTGACCCATCTCTTAACCAACCCCTGCTTCTCCAAAAGCACCATGTTTATAATATGCTTTCTAGTGGATCCAAACGTGAAAGTTTGAGTCATCTAAAAAGAAAAGTGGAATATCAGTTTGATACAACTTTAGAAGAACAACTGAGATACATATTCAGCAAATCTTCTGTATCTAATAGGCTATTGCATAAAACATGATTTTGATGAGGAGTTAACTTTGATATTGAGAAACAGAATGCTTATATATTGAATTGATTTTTCTCTGGTTACTATGCCAGACTGGTTTTCCTTGTTATGTTAATAGTTTGTTGCTTTTATTTCAGAGTGAGCAGAACACATTGCTGTGTTCATTTTCCAATGGAAGTTGTCATGGTGAGTTTATTATCTATAAATGATATTAAAATGAAAATGGATGTAAGCATGAAAAATGGCTCTATGCTTTTCTATTTATTTATGGGTGAACTCAAGAAGTTTAGAAACTAGTATTTTCAGTTAGACCTAAATGGATGAAGCATGAATGCTAAACCTTGCTGTACTCTTTTAAACTAGTGGGTCTTTTTATTCTGTTGACTGACTTTTTACGATTTAAAAAGCAGGGAACCCAGAAGAATACCTTTTCTACAGGAGTCCCTGCTTATTAATCACCGTGTGCATACTGAAATGGGTATGCCACAGATTGGTCTTCAGACCAAGGCCGAAGAAGCTTTTTTGCTAAGCACTGATTTTTGCATTCAGAGTGGCTCTTGAATATTAGTATGTAAAAGTAAAAAAAGGATAAGATTAGAGCCGTGTTAAGTCTTTGTGATCTTTAAAGCCACTGAGGAGAAAAATCTCATGAAATGTCAGCTGACTTATCAGTGACACGATGGGCACCCGTATTGTACAGTGTATCAGTGTAGTATAAAGAAAAAGCATAAGGGCTCGCTTTCAGCTAAGGATTAAGCTGAGTTATTCCAGTCTTCTCACCCTTTGTAACCCTTAAATCAAACCAGAGCACATACATTCCCATGGTAGAGCTACAACTACCTATTGCACAAGGTACTTTATACAGATGACTTTATTGTGGATGGAATTAAAACACTGTGTTTATCTAAAATACTTACAAGCATTAAGGCCACAGTAGAGAATCTGATTTGGAGGCTGTTGTCTGAATGTTTACATTTATTAACTAGACTCTTGACATTTTTATGATACTACAGTGTTTAATTTACTTAGGGGTGACAGAGTGCTTTGCTGAAACAAATCACAACATAGTGATACTGAAGACTGCATAGCAATACACTGTAAAATACTAAAAAAGCGCACAACACCTTATGCATAAGAAAATCTTGCCAGTACATGCTTCAACCTTGTTCTTTTAGATCAACTGGTTTCTCACATTACCGAAGTGACAGACAGCACAAGGCCTCTTTTCTGATTGCTTAAGGCCTGCCTTGAGGACTTTGCTTTATAGTTCCTTGCACCAACCAGTCTTTGGTGACTGTTCTAGGGGACTTTAGAATAAAAAACAGAGAGAAAAAAAGAAAAATCCCTATAAAGACAAAATGTAGGGCTTCAATTTTCAGGAAGGAGGGGAGCAGGAGGACACAATCCTTACAGCAGTCATCCTGGAAAGTGTAGCAACTTAACGTCTTTGTCGAAATCTTCCCTTTCCCCCCTCTGGGAAATCCTGATTTGCTGTTGGTCTGAGTTAGCACTCAATTAAACTGCTGCTGCTGCCCCTGCCACTGGTTCAGAGAGGAAGCAGGTCTGTACCTTCCTCCCCATATAGAAGCCAGGCAGTCTTTACTGCAACACAGGATGCCACTTGGGTGGGAAAGTAGCAGGAGTAATAGCAGAAAGACTAAGTTCTTTTGTTTTAAAGGGAGAGGAGGCATGTAGAAATTATTACAGTGAGCAGCATAGCAGATCTCATAAATCCTTTCCAGGCTTCCATCACAGTAATGTCAGGTAGGAGGTTTCCTTTAAAATTTAGTATTTCTGCTTAGTATGTATCTACTAATGTACATTAGACAATACAAAGACAGTAAATCTCCAGAGGTGCAAGTCCAGAAGGCTCTGGCTTCAGACTACTGTCAGAAAGGAATTAGCATCGACTATAAATCTATACCATGGGGATATCCTAAGTCCTCTCAAGAGTTTAAAATCTTTACCTCTGCTCTGTCAAAACCTGTTCTTACATTCAGAATTCCTTTCCTTAATATGTTTGGAGTTTTTTTAGTTTTGTGTATTATGATAACTAGTATTTGTTGACGGAACAATGTAAATAAGGTGTGCATTATTTTCTAGTTTTCCCTTTATGAAAGCCAGGAATCATATCTCTGTGTGCTAGTTCAGTATACATTTAGTACGGAGCGTTCTTAGTTTTAATACAAGATGGCCTGAGATTGAAGAATGAGTGAAAGACCTCAGCAAATCTTGCCAACATCTTTCCAACATGTGATAGTATATAAAAAATAAACCAAACAAAATCCATCATAGTAATAGCTTAAGAAAATGAAACACTCTACATATTTTTCTTCCTTACAGGCAAATATTAGTTAAGCCATAGCAGACGTTTGGATATTACAGAAATGAATGTGATATTAAGAGATATATTGTCTGTGTGCCCCATATAAACTTTTCTGAAGAAGACATTATCCTGAGTCATTTAGAAATTAAAATCTGAAGAAGCAATTCTTTAATTCTTGACAGTCTAGTCCTGTCTAAAAAAATCTCATTAATAATATGTTCTACCCACCGTCATTTCATCCCGTTGCTCTGAAGATCCCTCATTTTGATTCTAAAATGTGCCATTTGTTAAAGTTTGGGCCTATTTTGTTAAACTATCATTATTCTTATATGCATTTCTTGACTACTCTCGCTTTTAATTGAAGTATTTCATTTATCAAATGTGTAGGTGAATCATTGCAGTCATGTCACAGTGAGCAACGTGTTTTGATATTAGATTGCAGTGGGCTGAATTTCTTTGACTACGCTGGAGTCTCAGTGCTGCTTCAGGTATTTATGACATCACACAGATTTTGTGCATAAAAATATCATTTACATGTATGAGTTATTAGGACCAGCTACAGTCACCTCACCTATTCTCGTAGATAAACATGCAACTTGTGGAAAACATGAACACAGATTTCATATTAAACTAGAACGTGTTAATATTTAAAATTACATTAAAAGTAATTCTAAAGTTTTTAGGTGACATTCAGTGCAAGTGAAAGTATCTGTATGTAGTGGAGAAAAGGACCAGGGGGTGTTGGTTCATGGCTGAATACATATGAGCCAGCAGCATGCCCAGGCATCCATTCTGGCCTGGATCAGAAATAGCGTGGCTGGCAGGAGTAGAGCAATGATCATCCCCGTGTACTCGGCACTGGTGAGTCCACACCTTGTATACTGCGTTCACTGTTGGGCCCGTCACTACAAGAGAGATATTGAGGTGCTGGAGCAAGTCCAGAGAAGGGCAACAAAGCTGGTGAAGGGCCTGGAGCACAAGTCTGAAGAGAGGTGGCTGAGGGAACTGGGGTTGTTCAGTCTGGAGGAAAGGAGGCTCATGGGGTCCTTATCTCTCTCTACAGCTACCGGAAAGGGGGTTGTAGTGAGGTGGGGGCCAGTCTCTGCTCCCAAGTAACAAATGACAGGACAAGAGAAAATATCCTCAATTTGTGCCAGAGGAGATTTAGACTGGATATTAGGAAAAATTTCTTTACCAAAAGGGTTGTCAACCCTGGGACAGGCTGCCCAGGAAATGGTTGGGTCACCACCCCAAAGGTATTTAAAAGACGTGTAGACATGGTGCTAAGGGACATGGTTTAGTGGTGGACTTGGCAGTGTTGGGTTACTGATTGGACTTCATGGTCTTAATGGTGTTTTCCAACCTAAATGAGTCTGTCTCTACATAATCAGTGGTTCTATATAGTGGGTAAAAAAATATGCTCATAAGCTATTCTTTATGTTTCCATTGGGTCTGGCATTTAATAGTTGTGCAGTGGGTACAGATTTAAGTGGGTATGCAAATTTTGGGTCATATAATATTTTTGAGTAAGACAGAAAACTAGATTTGGCATTAGGTCTCAGCCCCCTGCTTCCAGAAGATCTTGAGACCTCAGAATTAACTGTACGTTATGTCAAAGAAGTATTTGACTATGAGAGGTAAGGTTGGGAGTGCGGTGCCTGAGTGAATGAGTGGTCCAAAACTGAGTTACTCAGAGGAGAAACACACTCAAGGTGTAGTTGCTGTTACATTCTTTCATTGCTGCTAAAGTTGAAGGGATTTATATACTTACTTGGGCTTTGGTTTGTTTTTAAAATAGGGTGTTCTGACTTGTTTCTCATTTAATTTCTCCTCTCAGAATTGTTCTACTTTACATGGCTTATTTAAACATTTTTTGAAGCAGGGTCTGCTTTGGGTGTTCCTTATCTGCCAGAAAAAGGCCCTCCTCTGATTAAAGGGTTATTTTCAGTTTTTTTTTTACTTTATAGCTTATTGAACGTTTAGTTTCTGTGAAGCTGAACGTTTTTAAAGAAAGAATAGAGAACTTTCTGCAGATAGACTGCTGTGAGTCTCTATGTTTCCTGGGTGTGATTCCTGTTGTTGTGGACTGGTAGGTAAGCATACGGAGAGGAGGTGGGAAAACTTGCTGAAAAAAGGAACTGTGAAAAAAAGCTCTAAAAGCAGAGTAAAAAATACAAAATTGTTAATCAAAGTCACATATAATTCTCAGTAGACTTGTAGAGTCCTTTGAAGAGGGGGGAGGAAATTAGGGTGGGTTTGTGGTGCTACAATTATAGAAGAGCGCACTCTGGTGGCCACTGGCAGTATAGCTTCAACAGCAGAACTGTTCTCTGCCTGCTGTGAATATCATCTTTTTGCGTATTTTATTCTCTCTTGGTATTTTGAACAGGTTGGTTGTTTTTTTTTTCCTAATTTCATGTTTTCACACATATAGATTTACATGGACTGTAAAAGAAGACACATCGATGTGTTGCTAGCACACTGCAAAGGCAAGTATCAGCTTACAGAAAAAATCTGAACTTGACGGTTTATATATCCTCACTACCTTAGCAATGCTCACATGTTTATTTTATTGCAGCTTCCTTGATAAAAGCAATGCAGTACGGTGGAAATCTTGAATCTGAAACTCCTGTCTTCTTTGAATCTATTTCTTCAGCCATCGATGCCATTCAGATTCACAGGGTGAGACTTACAGGAGGGGTAGGTAATGTCTGGAGGGATTCTTGGATGCTCACAGCAATTGAACAACCCTTGGATTTCTTACAGCTACTTTACACAGCACCACACTGTTCTGACCGAAAGGCTTCTGGATCCTGAGCAAGTTTGTTTCAAGCTAATAAGCTTGTCTGTACCCTGCACTGTAGTGTGCTGTGTTGGATCACTGGTGGAAAGAAGAGAGAGGAACTGCGTGAGGTATAAGGGAGCGCTAGAGGGAGAACTAAGACTTGGCCCAGAAATTGAGTCTTGCGGCCTGAACATACATTTGCTTGAACACATATTTACTTGCTCAGTAATTCTTGCATTCCCTGTATAAAAGCCTGGGTTTTCCTTATAAACCATGTGAGATTTTTCCATTGTAATCCCAGTGTAACTGAACGTGCATTACAAGTAGTGTGCTTTCCTTTCCCATGGTACTATGTACAATTCCAAACATGGCTAGAGCTTGGCTCAGAGCCTTCTCCAAGAGACATTAAACTCATCATGGTCTGTGGTTTTGGTTTTTTTCCCTCCACTTTATATTTTACTAATTAAATTAGAGTTGCCTATGGACAAAATCCCTTTTCATTGATTTATCCAGACAAGGTAAGTTGGCACATTGGTCTAGTGGGTTCACCAGAAAAACCTGTTCTATTCAGAGCTTTTCATAATTTCTCATTTTATTGCCCTGCAAAAAAAAAATAATTTACTGAAATGGTAACTTCAGGGCAAAAATAGTGGGGATGACTATTGTATATTTTGTCTGGATCTGATTAGATGAATTAGGATGATTGTTGTGCTGTAAAATGTCTGCATTCTTTACAGGCATTAATTAACCTTCCTAACATTCTTGTAAGACAGTTATGTATTAGCATTCTCATTTTATGGGAATGGGACATGAACACACCAGGACAAATTTTCAAAGTGAAAAGAGGGAGGTAGAGCGAGCTCAGAAGCCCACTTTTCTAGGAGCTGATGCTATGTTTCACCAGAGCTGCTAGGCAAGTCAAAACTCTGAATAGTGGCTTAGTGGATTAGTCTGAGGCACGCAGCCTCAAATTTTAAATGTAATTATGAACAACCTCTGTATGATGCTGATGCTTCTTCAGAGTATTCAAAGCATGTGCTTTGAGGTGGGTTTTTTTTAATATGTTCCTTATGTTTAACACCTGAAAATAAGATGAACAGGAATAGAAAGGCAGGGTGACCACAGTAGCAGTACCACACTGTAACTAACACAGATGATCTATCTACTCTTCCTCTGCCTTTTTAAGATGCTGGGGTGAGAAGGTATTTTGAGTATTTACGTGAAAGAGAAATGGCAGAAAAAGATGGGATGGCATGGAAGAGGGGATGGGAGAGGAAAAGAGAGTGGAGTGGAGTGGAGTGAAATTGAGAGAAGGGGAGAGGAGAGGAGAGGAGAGGAGAGGAGAGGAGAGGAGAGGAGAGGAGAGGAGAGGAGAGGAGAGGAGAGGAGAGGAGAGGAGAGGAGAGGAGAGGAGAGGAGAGAAAGAATAGGAGGAAGGACTTGGATATTTATGGAAAGTGATTCATCCTAATTTAGATTCCAGTTTCCTCCCCACAGCAGGAAATAGTCTTTCACTGGCAGAAAGGCAGAGGCAAAAAAGGCTTTGTGGTTCCTTGTCATCTCTGCCGCTGTTTGCAAATGCAAAGGTGCTCTTGTCTATATCCTACAAGGATAATGTCATGTAATTCTCATTTTTATGTTGATCAGTTGTTAAGAAACTCATCTGTTGCTTTTTGCAGCTTATCCTCATCATAAATAAATTATTTTTTGATTTAGTATTTTTTATAATGGTGGCATTTTCAAGCTAGGACTGCTTCATCTGCTAATCCTACATTATATTCTAGGAAAACATTATAATGTATGTTTTTTTCTGTTTCTCCCAATTTAGAATTACAGCAAGTTCAGTGAACAGAGTGAAATGTGATGTCAACTCATTGAATATGGATAGTTTCATCTGCTCATATTCAGAATTAACTACACCACGGTTTCTCCTTAGTTTTTTTCTCCGAGGGATCTCATAGATGATCTTTTGTATGCCATATATATTTACTACATTCAGTAATGACAGAACTGCCATTCAGAAAACAAAAAATCTTTCAGCTGCCATCAGGCAGAGAATGTCCATGCAATTGTTCTATAGTAAGCTTATATAATATTTTTAAATAGATTTAGATACAAATTATTAAAAAGCAGACATGAGGTACAGGCTGTGTTTACTAGTGAGGTATATTCTTTTAGATATCTTCTATTGTAACATTAGTTGTAATATGCATCTGTAGTTTTGTGTATGGAATAGAGACATTATGAATTCTTAAAAGCATTGCGTTATATTTGGTACAATACATGCAGGAAGCCATATACCAGTGCTGTGTCTAATGGCTTTACTTACCCTTTCTTCTGTTCAAGACAGCCATTTGCAATAGCAGCACCATATCACAGCTAACATACGCTTCTATTTTTTGTACTTGGTTTTGCATGCTTTTTAATGCCTGCCAAGGTCAGTGGAAGCACTGTATGTTCAGAAAAGGTGGATGTATGCTGGCTAAGTGCACTGGCTTGTCTCCCCCTTTAGAAGTTGTCAAAAGTTATTATTACAGTTTGCTACATTTTCAAAGCCACAGATATCCTTTAGCTCAGATCAAAGAGAAAAATCTGGCAATATTTTTCCAAAACTTGTTCTTGTTTCCAGCATAGAGTAGTCTTCATTTCCAGTTAGAGCTGTGATTTGTTTGGTGTATGAAATCTTCAGCTGTGGCAGCTGAGGGATGACAGTGGAGAGATATAAAATGTCCCAATCCTGATGTGCAGTTCTATGTGCAAGCACACAAATGGGCTGGAAGAATTTAAGTATTTGGCCTGTAAGTATGGATTGCTAGCAACCATATTAGATTGTGCTATCATATCAGTATCATTTTATGTGGCAAGATGTGTGACTTTTTTCTTCTACCTTTGTTGCCATACATGAACACTAGCAGTAAAAAGTAAGTTGAGAAAAAAAAAATCAAAAAAATGAGAAAAGATGAAGTAGTCTTTTTCCTCACTGACTTAAAAAGAACCTACAGAAGCTAAAAGGTAAATGAATATGTCACAGCCATAACGGCCAGGTCAGTACTGCAGAGAGAAGTACAAGGATGCTTTTTGTAGCTGGAGTCTGCAGGCAATATCTGATGTTAAGAATCCTGATTCAGCAGCAGTTAACATATCGGTGCTTGTCTGGACTCTCCTTCCTCTGTGCCCAAAGAAGCTACCTGCAGTAGATGAGGTGGCCCATGGAGTGATTTTCACATCTCTTCATAGTTGTGCTAAGGCTTTTCTTCTGGTCTTGGTGATGTCACGCTACTAGAAGACAATGGGAGAGAGCCATGGGAATTTTTACCCTTTCACTTATAGGTGACTCATGGAGTTATTTCCTGGTTTGTTCTGCAGATGACCAGAAGTGTTCTATATATGTTCTTCTGAGTCTGCTTTCATAATTGCTATTCAAAGGGTTTATTAGTAACCATGAATTCTGTACATTGTCCTAGGTGCATTGATTCGAGAGGCTGTAGTTGATTGCAAATAATGCATTACATCCTTGGACTCAGTAACAGGCTATAACATTTGATTAATAACTTCCTCAAACAGTTTTAGTAATTTATTAACACTCTGGAAACTGTTTACAATGTATTTTAATTGTAGAAGCATCAATTTAATGTCACAGCTGAATGGAGATCTCAACTACAAAATGAATAAATGAATAAATGGTATCTTTTCTACTACATTTGGTATTTATTCTCTGACAGTTAAATGTTTTGTTTTGGTTTTTTTTCCCCTGAAAATTTACAGATAAATTGATTAATGAAATTAAAAATAGGGTCTTTAGCAAAGATAGCATCTACCAGGAGAGTTTCGTTTTTTTTCTGAATGATCTTGTAAATGGAGCCACAGAGATACTTTTAAAATTCTTTGCAGTGTTAGCCTTAATGAAACCCTGTGCATCTCTGCATCAAATTAACAAAATGGCTTCTAATTTCCACTGCTTTCAATAGGCATAACTTTCCACAGCTAAATGGCTTTTTGGGTAGACATTTATTTCCCATTAGTTCAAAGACCTTGTTATGGCACAGTGTCCTTTTAAAAATGATTTCATCAGTGTAAGATTTCAAAATGTCTTATTGCCGTGATTACTGCTTGATTGTCTCTCAGGGCAGAATCAGGGATGAAATACATTTCTTCCCCTGAAACATTTAATCATAATTCTAAATTTTTTAACCTTTCAACTCTGGGTTTTACGATACTTGTAATATTCCTGTACCTTATACAATTAGCCTGAATTTCTTTCTATTTTCAAGAATATACTTTGCTAACAAGATTTCCTTTCCAGAAAGTGTTACCACTTAGGATAGCTGTTTCTCAACGGAACAGAGCATTCAAGGGACCCATGAAGATAGCCACCCTTTCAGTTGCTTCTAAACCAGCAGTAGTGAGTTTAAGATCTGTTGGACCAGAACTGCTTGAAAGAACCAGTTAGTGGGTGAGGGACGGTCATTTCTTTTTTTTACCATTGACCAAGAAAGGCAAATTACTACTGATGCAGTTTCTATTCCAACACCACCACTCCCGAGTGGCTGATGTTTACTAAAACTGGTGATTGTACGTTGCCAGTCTTCAAATGACCAGGATGCCATGCCATCAGATCTCATGCTAGAAACTGACCAACAGGTCACTCTGCTGATGGGCTGGGAGTTGCTTAGCATCTTGCCTGAGGTGCTCTGTAAATCTCTGGTGATGGTGTGTTTGCTTCACTAGCTTCACAAATTGACAATTGTCAACAACAACTGCTCAATTCTTTGATTTAAGGAAATGCCCTAAACCTTCTAGATTAAGTTTTGGAGTTTGAAATCAATTTCAATCCTTAATGCTTCTCTGTATAAACCATCCACTGGCTTCCTTCTGGCTATCACTAAAAGTTACTATGTAAACACATAGGAGCTTAGCCCAAAATATCCCAAACAGTTTCAATAGAATAGAGCAGAACAGAACAACATACTTCAATCATCTCGTCCAAATACCACTATTATAAATAACAGAATATTACAGAATAGAATAGAATAAACCAGATTTATTCTTCTGATTCAGAAGTGTGAAGTGGGACAAACTCACCCTGCAGCAAAGAGACTGCACAAAGTCTGCTCCTCCTTACAGTGGTGCAGGTCCTGGTCTTGCTGTCCACACTGAGGTGGGGTTTAATTATTATGGCCTCTTGAGGTAGCTCATTCATCTTTGTACCTTTCAGCCTTATTTTCTTGAAAATGAGAATTTTCAGAGTAATGTGAAGTTTTGTTAACTATGCTTGCATACCTAAGCTTATGCTGTGATAGCAAAAATGGCAGAGCTCTGCAAAGTCACTCTGTTCTTATTGATTTCTAAAGGTGTGAGAAAAAGATGGCACTCTCCAGCAGAAGCTAAAGGAAGTCTCTCATTCAGTAATGGATTTCAACTCATGAAACCAGAGTTTACTACTCTGAGTACTAAGAAATTCTGAAAATCTAGCCACTCACTTTGATTCCTATATGTATACTTAGGTGCTCAGATTTTACGTTCCTAAATTCAAATTGTATGAGTTGTCTAGCTTATGAAAGTAAATTATTCAGTTTTGCACATGTTGGTATATTTTCACTTCATTGGAAAACATTAATATAAGATTGTTCAAGACATGGCCCAGTATTTTCAACGATGCTACATTTTCTTGATATGTTTAGGAATTTTTATCTAGATTTAGGAATTAATTCTAAATGTTATACATTATGTGAATTTAAGATGTGTTAATCAGAGTATGTTAAAATGGGGATGTGATCATACGTTGCTTACAGAAGTTGTGTATCACATGTTCCAAAACAAAGTGAGCAATGAGGAAAAACAATAGAGTGCATACTCATGTTAAGAAATGAATGTAGTGGCAATTAAAAATTAGACATAAAATATGTAATAAGGAAAAGGCTGTTAACATTATATTTATGCAAATTAAATGTTTCTAATCCTCATCATACGCCTTTCATTTCAAAGGTTATTTGCCCTGATTCTGTGATTCAAGTGTCACAAGGTCTGGCTTTACCTGCTTTGACATAATTTATTTGACAGCTCCATGTGTCATAAATATATAATGTAACAAGGAAAGGTATCTTCATTGTTGAATGAAAACATTAATGCGTCAATACCATGTATGAATACTGTCTGACATTTACTAGTTGCAGAAATAAAATATAAAGTATGTCTTGAAAATATGGCACTCCTATTTTGGGGAGATACTTTCTTTGTCTGTAGAAAGTAGTATCTCATAAATAAATGAAGGAGTGCAGTTCCAGAGAGGATGCTACGTGGTGCTTTCATCATTAAGATGGATTTTTAGTAAAGATCACATAATCTGTATGTTTCCATATGTTTTACAATGCATTTAATTTTTTTCTTGTTCCAATTCTGTGTATTAGCATATGCTGCAATAAATTTATACAGAAATAAATTGGATTATGAGACAATTTACATGTAAAAGGAGGAAATGCCATCATTTCAATACTTAGCAGCCGATTTTTTTACATTCTGTACTAACCAGTCTGTAATGAGATATGTTGCCTTCTTCAATCTCAAAATGTATTCAATTTTGACAATGAAAGACGAGAAATTCCATTACATTCAGAAGTTTGATTTCCTTACAGTTCTTAGGGGAGTATGGCATCTAACAGACGTTTTTACCTCTGTAAGAGATATAGAAATCTTGGACCAAACTTTCCAATATTGTTACTATGCATGCACAGTTGTTTGAATATGTCTTTTTAAATTGTCATTTGCATCTACAGATGGTGCACCTCATATCCAATTTGTGCATACTGATGGTATTGCTTATATAGTCTATGGCTTACCTCAGTAGAGAGGAAATGATGGTCAATCTCTTTCCTCCACCCCACCCACCCCCAGAAACTTTGATGGCATTAATGGAAAACAGATTGCTATATCTTTAAAGCTTCTGCCTCTACTTTTTTGATTTTACAGTGGTTTACAAAAGTATAAACAATTTGTAGTACCATAAATTCCAAGCTAAATAATCTTAATGATATTCTTAATAATAAAGGCTATTTCCTAGAGCTGTGATTTTCAATTACATGCACACAATAAGAAGTAAACCACTTTGGAGTGAGCTGGCTGAAAAAGAAAGTGTAATTAATTCTTTTTATTCCCAGAACAAGCACATAGAAGTCCAAGATCTGCAGATCTGCTCTCACCAGGGACTTGAAAGTTAACATTAGGAGCAACTCCTTCCCTGACGGGAATACTTTGGCTCCATGGCATTTCTGAAGAGTATGCATGCAAAAGCAGAGAAATGGCTGTTTTATTATATTTTTTCTAGTGTGTTTTCCAATAAAGAAGTATTTTATGCTGGATACATTCAAGTAATTAAGAAGAATGAAGGGAGGGGCTCACAGCATTGCACAAATTGTCATAAAAGTCCATGTTGCTGCTCCGACTGACTCGGGACATTCACTTAAATTTCACAAAATATATCCCACTAGTTGGATACAATAACTTATATTCTATTTAAGGGACAAAATTATTTGATCCCTTAATTGTTACTTACAATTAATAGTTGCAAGTTTTTGGTGAAGGTGCTTTTTGCACATTTTTTGCTTTGTTGAATAAAACACAGACTTTATATAAGTAAAACTATCATCAGATATAAAACTTAAACTGTCATGTGTAGGCCCAGGTAGTATAGTTAAAAATGCTGCTCATAAGTTCAGGAAATGAGTTCTCTTGTTACTCTACAGGCAAAGTGGCGGAGTGTCACAAAGTAATACGTGACATCCCCTGGACAGCTTCAGATTTGTACCATTTGCAGCTTCTAGGGATAATTGAAACAGAAAACTGATAGAAAAGTATATAATTTTAGAAACAGAGGTCTGGAAAGGACATATTTCATCACTGAATTGTATTTTCTGTGTGAAAATACAATACAATACCTGGTAACCATGCTTTATAATCTCCAAGAATGATCTTTAAGCTCACGGTTGCCTGGGACATGACTTGCTATTTCACACATTTGAAGCTTGAACAGGCTGTAATGGTTATAGCCTCAATTCATTTGTGGTAGTCTATGGACTACTAGAGATTTTTCAGGAATGAGAAGTAGTATTACTCAAAGAAGCAGCCTTACACTTGAAGTACTTCTTTCATCTCCACGTGTGATTACCTGTTCTATTCCTAATGGACTACCACATACAGACATTCCTCATACAATCTCTTCAACCTGTAAACTGCTGGGACAGACTGTAAATCTGCCTGTGGGTTGGCGGGAACAGAATCCCTGCCTTTTATTCTTGTATAAATAAGCAGAAAGTAGTGGATGATATTTACTAATTCAGTTTGGAGTGTATTAAAATTGGCAGATCACATTCATCCTTCATACTCTCTATGATAAAGGCAGAAGTGTAGTGTTTTATTAGTCCTGCAGTCTTGTGGAGGACTATTTATAAACATCATGTATCAGACACTGAACATCATGTCTGCCTTAGGATCCAACTCTCATCTATGGTATCAGTGGTCATTATTTTGCTGCAACATCTATAGCTCATTTTCCATTCTGCCTCTATGGACCTGCTGTGTTTACATCTCTATTGGTAAGCCCTTCTAAAGTATATTTTAAAATAACACCATGGTATTTTCTGTCTCAAGGGAGTTTAGTAGTCAATGTAATGGAATTGTTATTTGATACTCCAATGTGGTTTGTTTATACTCCAATATAAACTAATAATTTCAAACACCCTCAACATTTTGCCTCAACTTTCTTTTCTTTTTGCTCTCTCTGTGACTGTTTTTAAATTTCCGGATCTTCATTCCTTTCTGGTTTAGTTTCGTTCCTATAGTCAAATTCTTAATTCAGAGTACCTCCATAAAGGAAGACATGTTTTGAAAGAATGAGAACAATCCTAACTGGTAAGAAAAAACTGCACTTTTTGGGGGTCTTGGAATACTTCCAGATTTGAAACAGGTTTTGAAATATTACATTTGCAATCTGCAATTTGTGATCATTTTCATTTTACTTTCAGTAGTAAAATTGTGTTTAAATCTGCCAATCATAGCTCAGGTTTAGCACTAGCCGGGCTCTACTGTTGCCCTTATTTCACACATCTCCAATATGCCTCTTCTCTTCAGTTCCCAAAGCCATGAAGCAGAGGTGGTGACCTTTAAAAGACTCATGATGCTCTGCAGGCCAGGTTCTGCTTCCTTCAGTCCTTCCTCCTTCTTATCTCTCCTATCAGGATATGGTCTGCTCTACAGACTGCATAGTAGAAGTGCTGGTGGGCACAGTACAGCAGTACTGAACTGTACATGAGAGGGTGTGGGTGCAAAGCTGGAGACCAGGGCTAAGATGCTGGTGAGGCTGTGGTGCATGGGACTTTTTAGGAGAAGGACACTGGGGTGGGCAGTTGGGTGTAGGAAGGCAGTATATGAGGGGAGAAATCTCAAGGTAATGAGACTGTGTGATACTGTGCCTGGATGAAAAAGTTGAAGAGCACGGTGTGCAGCTGGGATGTTAGGCTGCATGGAGGTGCTGGATGAAGGAGAGTCAGACCATAAAAAATTGAACTGATTGACTGCTGCTGGCAGGCTTTTGATCACCACACCAGGTCATTTACTTCAGAAGTG